GCTATAGTTTAAATATAAAAATTACTTTTTTGCATGGCTGCTTGCTCCCTGAACACTTTGTTGCAGTGTGTTTAAACTCTAGCGAATCATTGCATTTAAAAAAGTTTTACCGAAAACTTGTAAAAAGATCCCCTCAAGTTTAGGCAGTTTAGTAGTATTTTTTCGGGGGAGGGTGTTTCGTTTTTTGTTTGCTCGTCAATTCTTTGGAAGGTTGCCCCCTCTCCCCTTTCAAAAGCAAAGGCCTGTCAAAGGCATAATAATGGCTCTTCAAAAGGTATAATAACGCCTTTTGGAAAGGCCTAATAACGCCTTTTGAAAAGGCCTAATAACGCTTTTTCGAAGGTGTTATAACGCCTTTTAATTTTTTTTTCTTCATAGATTGATCCTAAAAGGCTTTCATACTGATACACTTAGATACAATGCATGAGTGCATAGCTATGCACTGATGCAAGAGAGATAACTCTAATTTTAAGAACGACAACAAACGCTGAACTGTGCTACTTGCGAGCACTCTGTTGTGAGACATGGTCTAACAGAATAAAAAAAGAATAAACAAAAGAAGACTGATGAAGTCATTCCATCACTGTAAGGCAAGTTTCCTACCTCGGTAGAAAATCCTGAAAATTCATTATCATAAAATAGAAAACTTTTGTGGCAATTTTACTTTCAGTTAGTTGTATTTATGATTTATCACAAGGTCATTCCAATTGAATACGGCGTATTAAAGTTCATTTAAGCAAAAAACTTTCCAAATTAACTGTGATGTATTAAAAACAAATGTTTTTTAAGTAACATGTGCATGTTGAAAAATAAATGTAAAAACTTTTTGAACAAGGAAGTAATATTATGTTAGTCAGTATTAATTCACTATTCAAACAAAAAGTATTTATCATAATTCACTAAATGGACGTTTAATTTCAATGTCAAAACAATTCTTTTTTTTATTTATAGAACTTCTACAGAAACCATGGACCCCCGCCTCAGTGCCCAGGATGTGATCAGATGTGACCTATGTGAGACAGCTCTAGTACAGATGTACTGTGATTTCTGTCATGTCAACCTTTGTAAACACTGTATTGGAGAACACATTGCTGATGAATATGACAAGCATAAAATTGTCCCATTCGATCAAAGAAAGTCAACCTTGATCTATCCAAAGTGTGCAACACATCCTACCAAAACTTGTGAATTACAATGCAAGGAATGTGACATTCCTGTTTGCGCCTTATGCTCTGCATCAAAACAGCACGAAGGGCATAAATTTGCAGTCCTCTCAGAAGTTTACAACTCAAAGAAAAAAGTTATCGCAAAAGATAAAGAAGAATTACAAATTATTATCTGTCCAGCATATAAAGAAATCACCAAAGACATAGAAACACAGATAGCTAAGTTGGATGGAGAATATGAGAAACTTACAACAGCGGTGACAGAACATGGAGAACAATGGCACAGAGAAATTGATAATGTCATCAATGCCATGAAAAAAGAAATTGATGATTTAAGAAATAAAGTCCGCGTTATCGTGAATGTTGCAGGATAACCTCCGAGGTCGAGAAATGTTGTCTGAAATATAAAAGCCGAGGCGTTAGCCGAGGCTTTAATATTTCAGACAACATTTCGAGACCGAGGAGGTTATCCTGCATCATTCACGACAACAAGGACTTTATTTCTATTCTACTAACGGCTCTAAAATACAGTTGATCGTTTTCTCTATAGAGAAACGAATTAGGTCACCATGTCGCAATTTCGCTGTTCCATTTAACACCAGAGGGTCAATCGATTGCATAAAATGCAGACGATTTCAGCTTTTGTTGGATTAAAAATATCCTTTAATTATTTATAAATTTGCTTGTAACATATATTGATTAATTTTTATGAGTGAAAAATAACAAAACCAGCTGTCTATTTCATTGCTTTATCAGTAAAATCACGGGAGTGTAAATGTTGTGGGGAGGTCCGTAGAACAGCCCCACTTGGCTATAAAAACGGATATTTATCAGCTGTGCAGGCAATACACACTTTTAGACTGCGGAAGACGACACATCGATGTGGTCTAAATAAGTATTAGATTATACAGTGAAATATTTATTTCAACTGTACAGATTTGACATGTGTTTCTGATCTGATAATTTTTTGATGACGTTCGTGATTTATTGGAGAATAATGTCCGCGGCATTTCTTTGATCTCGGCAATAATCGTAGTAGAATTTAAAATAAAACACATTAACATTCTGAAGAAACATGCAGAGGATGCCAAACAAATGCAGTCCCTTACTGAACAAACTCTGCTGAGCCTGAAGAAAATTGAAGAATCCAATGAAGTGTCCATGACCATGAAATACAGCTCCAGAAACACAGAATTCTGGCGGTGCAAACTTCCTCCCAAAGTTCAGGTGTCACTGCCCATGTTTAGTCCAAAACCAGTAGATAGAGAACAAATTTACAAGTTGTTTGGATCTCTTTCACCATTATCTACCACAACAGAAGAAAATGGCTACACACTGAAGACACCAGAGACACTAACCAGAGAACAACTGGAAGAACCAGAACTTATCACTACTATACATACTGGGTATGAAAAACTCCGTAGTGTTACCTGTATTAATGAAGAGGAAATCTGGACAAGTGGATATGAAGTCAGTAATACATGTATGAAATGCTTTAACATTAGAAGCTCACTTATCAAGGCAATCAAAACAAAATCAGGGAAATGGCCATATGATATAGCAGTAACAAGTGATGGGGGTCTAGTGTATGCTGACTGGAAAACAAGGACTGTTAATAAAGTAAAGAATGGAAAGACAGAGGAGGTGATCAGACTTCAGGGCTGGGTACCTGGCAATCTCTGTGTCACCTCCTCTGGTGATCTCCTGGTTACCATGTATGATGATGATAAAACACAATCTAAAGTTGTCCGTTACTCAGGCTCCACAGAGAAACAAACAATCCAGTTTGATGATGAGGGCAAATCTCTGTATTCAGGAATTGCCAAAATTAAATACATCAGTGAGAACAGAAACCTGGATATCTGTGTGGCTGACTGTGGAGCTGGTGCTGTAGTTGTGGTCAACCAGACTGGTAAACTCCGATATAGATACACTGGTCATCCTTCTACTACAAAGATTAACCCATTTAAACCCTATGGCATCACAACAGACAGGCAGAGTCAGATCTTGACAGCAGACTTTCATAACAACTGTATCCATATCCTAGACCAAGATGGGTAGTTCCTCTGTTATATAGATAACTGTGATTTGAAGTATCCATACGGTGTATGCGTGAATAAATATTGTTTGTTAGTGAGTGGGGAGGAAAGGTTAAGAAAATTAAATACCTTGAATAGAGATGTATATTTGTGTTTATATTTTTGTAGATAGAAACTACTTTTTAACTCACCTGAGCTATACATTATACTGATGTAAGTGATGTCTATGTTTAATATAGAAATCACTTACATCAGTATAATGTATAAGTTTGACAGAAGAGTTGCCATGGACATAAAACTCTGAATTACTGTCTTTCAAATTAATGATACTCTCCCTTCAGATTTTGGCCTGATTAAGTTAAGGACATGGTCTATGTATATAAATAGATGCTGTAGATAATGTTTTTGGTCTGTATGTGTCATATTTTTGTCACTTTTAACAGTTAATATTATACTTTAAATTCAATTTTTAAGCTAGTACTATAGCCTCTTTGAAGAGTTTGAATGTATGAAGTATAATCAACTTACCTACAATTTATTTACAAGTATGTAAATGAAATTTGAATCAATCATCTGAATGTTTACTTTCCTCTGAAATGTTTAATTGTATTAAATACTATATCTAGCTCCTAATGAATTACTTCATGAAATTTAATGTGATATAAATTAATTTTAAAGTAATTATTTAATGAACAATATCACCATATTTAGAGTTGTAAAGAAAACGTTTTTCACCTGATTAGGAGAAGTATGTATATATTGTAGGTACATATATCTGCTTATCACTTTCTGATTAAAAATCAACAGAATAAATAAATACTTGTAACTTTGTAAACATATAGCTTTTTGTCGATTCCTGTTATTCGAAAAGAATCAGATGCAAATGTATAGACTCAAGAATATGTCATTATCCTTTTTATCAAGTAAAATAAATAAGTAATCTGAAATGTTTCTTGTTCTTCTAGGTTATCAAAGTTCAACCAATTCATCTTGTCTCATCAGTCAACTGGTTTTTCAGCATATTTCAAGATTTTCAGTGGAATTTGCTGTCTTTATAAAAGAGCAAGAGTTATCCCACAAATCTTCACCATGTATGCACTATGGGTGTTTATTTAAGGAATAACTGTCTAATTTTTGGATTCATGATGTGATCAATCGAGTGGCTTGCGTGATAATTTGCATAAACGCCAAAGGCGTTTATGCATAAAATTATCACGCAAGCCAATCGATTGATCATCGTCATGAATCCAAAAAATCTGACAGTTATTCCTTGTATTTACATGCTCCTGATTCTGCAAATTCCCGTGCTAATAGCCCCGCTTCTGTCTCTATTTGTCCCGCCCCGCACGTGATTTTTTTTAACCGCGCCTATCGATGAACCAGTAGATTTATGTAGAAATAAAGTATTTTTACAATTTGTAATTTTATCTCGGACAAAGACATTGGAAATGTAAATATTTACTAATATCTTGTATGAAGAAACTACAGTTCTTCCTTTTCTTGAGGAGATTTTGAAAAAATTAGCTGAGGGACCATTAGAACAAATTTAAACTTTACTTATATTATGATGTAACATGTTTAGTATTCTAGGGTTTGGATTGATTTAACAAACAATTGTCCATTTAAAATGATTTAAATCTATGAACCGAATGGCATGCACACACACATACACACATATATTCAGCTTTCGGCCTTAGGGTGTATGAAATAAAACCAGGGGTAAATCTCTCCCCTACATCCTTGATTGGACATGGATAACTAATACAGTGCATCAATAATTAAACAATTTCTCTAAAACATTTGAAACAATTTATTGTAATACTACAAACAATATTATAATTATTGATATATGAGGATTTTCCTATATATACATATACATGACATCCTCTTACAAAAACGTACACATTCATTTTTTTAATCTCACATAAACATGAATTTACATTACAAATGCCTTGCACACACTACAGCACAGAATTTTATCACACATGTATATTTGCAAATCACAGTTTGTTTCTTTTTTTATGTAAAATGAGGTCCTTATATATTTAGTTGCTGGCACTCTTTGATAACTCTTTCCGGGGGAGCTTCAATGGACTCCAAACGTTTCCTGCGATGGGGTGGCCACACCACGTGTGTTGCTTTGGCAGTGATAAGACCTATTGAGATCTAAAATTATGAGAAAGATGTCATTGTTAATTACTTCATAGATGAAATTACTGATTATCTTAAGAGAGCCCAATGGTCAATACTTTTAGGCCATTTAAGCTTCCTGAAAATTAAGAGTTCCTTGTGGGATTTAACATTTTTGCTTTATCAAAAATTTTAATTTTCATGAAAAACTGCTAATATTTTTCATTCTTACTGTTAAGAAACAATGAATTACTTGTACTTCATTTAAATATTTAGTATTTCACACGAGAGACCTTTCTTGACCATGGAGCCTCCTTAATTTTGTGTGGTGGATCCAAGTTTTGTCCATCTTTCCAGAGGCCAAACAATGTGTGTGGCTTTAGCAACAACATTTCCCAAGCCCACTAGATCCTGATAATGAAAGAAGGACATAACACAAGGTTAAGATAATGGACACACAGTTGATAAATTCTCACTAAATTATGTATCAGTGCACAAGCTTACATAAAATATTTTGAATAGTTAGTTTGAAACAGAGTTTAACACAAAATTGGAATAAGTGAGGTCAAGTTCAAAGGAAAGACCAAGGTAAGAAATGTTCATGAAAATGAATAGCTCCCATCAATATGTATAAGCATATGGAGTTTGATAAAACTATCTTGAATACCTGCAGTTTCTTTGAAACTGAGCTAAACACAAAATTAAGATTAGTGAGGTCAAAGTCAAAGGAAAGCACAAGGTCAAAATATATTGAAGTTGAATAGCTCTTATCAATATGTATCAGTGGATGAAGTTTGATAACAATATCTTGAATAGTTTCTTTGAAACTTACCTATATACAAACTTGAGAAAAGTGAGGTTAAGGTCAAAAGTAAAGTCAAGGTCAAAAATGTTGATGAAGTTACATGTAATTAGCTGTCTCCAATATGTATCAGCATATGAAGTTTGATAAAAATATCATGAATAGTTTTTTTTTAATCTGAGCCAAACACAAATCTTTTAAAAGGGAGGACAAGGTCAAAGGAGAGGTAAGGTCAAAAATGTTGATGCAGTTGAATAGCTCTCACCAATATGTATCAGCAAATAAGGCTTGATAAAAATATCTTGAATAGCTTCTTTGAAACTGAGCTAGAATTAAGTTTTTGAAAAGTGAGGTCAAGGTCAAAGGAAAGGTCAAGGTCAACAAATGTTGATGCACTTTAATAGCACACATCAATATGTATCAGCATATGAAGTTTGATAAAAAATATGTTGAATAGTTTCTTTGAATCTGGGCTAAATGCAAAGTGTGACAGAAAGACAGATGAAAGAACAGAAGGATGTAAGGACGGTAGACAGACATAATGTGTCTCAGCCATATTGATGGTGGGGCATAAAAATGAAATGCACTTTCTCTAAAGAGGAACACAACACAAATTGGAATATTCCCTTAGGAACATCTTGAATTCTCTTTTGAAATTGTTAAATAACAACCTGACAAAAAATTGCTAATGACAGTTTGACCAGACAATGAATAAAGTGCACAAAATATGCCCAACAGAAAAACTTCAACATTGAAGTTTCAGTTACCTACTTTTGAAATATTATACACCTCCCCTCAAGATGTTTCAACTGATAGGTTTGATGATTCTTACAGTCTCACAATGTGAAAGAAATGACCCAGATAGATGGACAAATGGCATGACAATTGAAATTGGACAAATGGTTCTAATAAATGTGGTAAACCATGATAACTTTATACATAAAGCATGTTGTACATAGACATCAACAGGTTATCCAAATGACTAAAACAAACAAAAACAAGAGATCTGAAACACTTACATGGAAATGATATTGACCTTCTGAACTTAAAATCAATTGGGATCATCTACTGATACTGACTGAGATGCATCAACCTATCAAGTATGACGTGTCTAAGCTTAAAGTTTTTGAATTTTAGGTTGCACAAATCTTGGTTGACATATTGGCCTTTAGACAGGTTTGACTCTACTTCTAAAGTATAAATTATTAGCAATAACCACATTCAACCAACCTGATAAATCTGTATACCAAATTTCATTTCAGTATGTGCAAATTCTGTAAAGAAAATGAATGGAAACTGCAAATAATTGGAATTTTTCTAAGTGCAAGGGGCATAACTGTCAAAAACTGTTCAATCGAATCCAAAACAGAACCTGACCTAGATATTCTTATGATAAATCTGTATACCAAATTTCATTTCAGTATATGCAACCTCTGCAAAGAGAATGAACGGAAACTGCAAATAATTGGATTTTTCTAAGTCCAAGGGGCACAACTCTGTCAAAAATCGTTCCATCGTACCCAAGAAAGAACTTGACATAGATATTCTTATGATAAATCAGTATACCAAATTTCATTTCAGTATGTGCAACCTCTGCAAAGAAAATAAACGGAAACTGCAAATAATTGGATTTTTCTAAGTCCAAGGGGCAACGCTCTGTCGAAATCTGCTCAATCATATCCAAAACAGAACATGACCTAGATATTCTTATGATAAATCTGTATGCCAAATTTCATTTCAGTATGTGCAACCTCTGCAAAGAAAATGAACAGAAACTGTTGGTGGACCTGAAGACAGACAGACAGACCGACCAACCGACAGACAGTAGCAAAGCAATACTGTCTTCTTCAAAGGGGGTATAATAAAAGCTGTTGTTGCATATATGTACAGTTAATTCATACATATTTAATAATGTGTAATACCTAATTTGATTTTTCAGCAGCAGGGATGTATATACATGTATGTCCCTGGCAACAGGCATTGCCAAATAAGCCTTCTCCTTTATAAATAAATACAATTACAGAATAGGCTCTTGTTTGGCTACATATGAGGCTATGTAAATGTACTTACTGGTCCAAACTTGTTGCTATCTTCACTCATTCTTGCATTATCCCCCTCCACCCAGCAGTGACCTTGAGGGACCTGTATTGTCCTTTTTGTGTAATTCAGTGTCCTAACAATATAAACAAATTGAATTATAATATCAATGTAAAGCACATCCATCTCTTAATAATAATATACTATAGTAATAGTAACAAGATAATTAGGGCCCCGCAAGGATTTGCAGGTGCCCTATAGTAATCGCTCTGTCTGTCTGTCTCTGTCTAGCTGTCCGTCCGTCTGTCTGTCCGTCTGTCATTCTTCTGTCCACAAATTTTCTGTTTTTTTTCTGATAACTTTTTTAAGGATTGACCAATTAAGTTAAAATTTGGTATGTTGGTTGAATAGGCAGTAAGACATATTTTGATGCTAAGTTTGGTTCTCTATGTCATCAGATTTGGAGCTGGGGTGGTGGGGTAGATTCAATAACTTTATATAAGAGTGAATGGGCAAAGAGAGATAACTGCTGAGAATGTTCCTATTGTAAACTATGAAAAGCTGCAATGAGTCTCTTGGGATTTATAACCTTTCCTCTTGAAGAAAATCCAAAGCATTTATCTTTATGTCACATTGAGATTAATTAACACCTCTGTCTGCAAATGAAGTTTGTTTTGAAGTTAAGGTCAATTCTGAATGATGTTTGCATTCTCTGAAATGTGGATTTAAATAATGTTCATACTTTATTTTGGTAAAATACACAATAAGTGATGATTTTATTGAATTCTAAAAACAAGATATAGATAAAGATATCTTTTTTATTATTATTTTATTTTTTTATTTTTTTTTTCTTTTTTTCTGCCTTATGAAAATTCAAGAATACTATTTATTTTAACAAGTATTCAGATAATAACCTCATTCTATCATTGCTGAAAAAGTTCTTATTGTAAACTTAGAAGAAAAGGTTGAGAGAACAGTAAAATTAATCCTCTGGGATTGATTATCTTGCTGGTTGCAGAAAATTTTAGAGGGTTATCTTTCTGTCACTTTAAGATTAATTAACACCTTTGTCTGCAACTGATATTTGTTTTGAAGCTAAGGTCAAGCCTGTGTGATATTTGCATTCACTGAAGGCTAACATTTTAGAAAACACATGCTTCATTCTTCAGTCTTTAAATATACATTTAATTGAGTTATTATAGATACATGTATGATGTTTTTTACTGCCTTACGTAAATACAAGGATACTATTTACAGGTTGCTGGATATTAAGTAGTTGCTGTTGCTTATTCTTCTTTATATATTTTTTAAATTTTTGTAATCAAGTATAATTATCATCCCCTAATCTGCACCCTTATATTTCTACCCCTCGGCAGGGCCCTTGCTGACTGGTCAGATTTCTAGTTGTATTTGTGGTACATAATGCCCTTGAGTATGGCCTAGCTTATACACTTACAATATCCATGACCTTGACATTGTTCTAATGATTTGGAATTGGTTCAAGGTCAAGATTCACCCTCAATTCATATTCTACAATCTCACAAAATACGAAGTCTTTATGATGTTTCCTTCATAAGTTACCGTATATACTCGCCTATAAGTCGGTTTTTTGGGAGTTAAACTTTGGTCCAAATTTCATTATCCGACTTATACACGAGTTATAAAAAGATTGGTATTTTAGTATGTCAGTCCCTCTAATTCAAGCTCAAAAAATACAACCGACTTATACACAGACCGACTTATAGGCGAGTATATATGGTATATAAGTTCTGTAAAGCTTTTATGAAGGAGAAGGCTAACATGGAAAACTATTAAGAGACAGGTAGGCAAAACTTCTGTCTTGGAAAAATAACTCTTAGCACATTCAGTAACAAATTTGAAAGACAACATATCCTGCATATAAGAACTTACACTTCTCTTTTGATCAAATGATTCTGATTGAGTCCTTTATTTCAGGTAAATTATCAGCTTCATATTTTACACAATGAACTTGTTTCAGGATTATAACAAAGTTTTTTTGAAATCAGACTAAAATCGTAGGAGGAGTAGCATTTTGAAAATTTTTCACAGAAATTTCTGTTTTTAGAAACTGTGGCAACATTGTTCAATGAAATCAAAAACCGATAAATAGAATTAGGTATCTTAGTATAGTCTACTTGTGTGTCAAGTAACACTGAAATCAGAACAAAAATGTGGGAGAAGTAGCATTTTGAGAGTTTTACAATGGAAATTTCTATTTTTAGTAACCATGGCAATACCATTCATTGAAATCAAAAACTGTACACAGAATTATGTATCTTAGTGTAGTCTACTAATTTGTGTGCCAAGTTGCATTGAAATTAGACCAAAACTGACAAGGCTCCCTTTGCACTGAGCATAATCTTCTCCAATTCATGAAATACAAAATCTTTAACACAAAATCTGGATTTTTTCATCAACGATTACTTTCAAATTGATCTTTACTTCATCCCAGTATGATTTTAAACAAACTTAAAGTTTCACTTTATAATTACTGATACGTTTGCATGATTATAGGGTAAATGGTACCCACCCTTCAGGATTGTCCCAACGTTTGTTGATTTTTGTGTTTTCTGGAATTCTAAAATTGAAAACCATCACAAGATTAATAATTCACTTTGGCTCTTGAAACTTCAGCTTGTACATGTATGTTTCCAATCAAAGACAATTCAATATTTCCTACTAGACAAAGGAAAGTTAACACATTTTAGGTCACAAAAGCAGGTCAAAATATGTTCATAATTAAATCTTCATTTTCTTTGTGTATATAGATAAAGTCAACATTCAAGTGGTTCACCATTACAAATGAAATACAGGTTCACTAATCAAGTTAATCTCAAAATAAAATTTAAAAAAAAACAGATTGATAAATAAAATCACTTCTTTTTACATCTTTTAACTTTAATTTCTGGGGCAAAACGGGCTGACATCACAACTAATCCTTCACATCCCATCCTTTATTACTCATTGACAATATCTATTCAATCATATCTAGTTCTTTACCCCCCATCCTATATTACTCAATGACAATATCTATTCAATACCTACTTCACAATATCTCCTTCCAAACCGACTATTCTCTTTATCAGGTACTTTTCTGGATGTCTTGGAGATCTGAAAAATAAATTTTAATTTTGAAATTTTGGAGCTGTATATCAATGTATTATGGACCATGCATTTTTATCTCCAGTGCATTTAATAACACTAGAATATCAAATACAGTTAGCTGACCTTGATAATTAAAAACACAAGTAAAGAGAAAATGTATGGCTGGACTGGGAATTGAACATAGGACTCCTGCATTTCTATACAGTCAGGTGCTCAGTAATCACTGCATGATCTATCCAGGCCAATATCTACATTCTCTACAGCCAAAAACCACTAAATTCCTAAATCCTAAGTACATGGTACTAAATTTAACAGGAAAGGAGAACATTTAAAATATGTCTGGATCAGGAATTGATCCCAGGACCCCTGAATTACTAGTCAAGTGTTCTAACCACTAAACTATGCAGGCCAATATCCATGGTCCCTACAGCTCAAACCACAATCTACTGGTACACATATATCAACAAATGTTTTGGGCTAGGTGGAAAACTGGAAGCAATTATCAAGGATCACTAATGTACATTAATTAAGTCAGATAATTTTCAGAGTTATACTTTTATAGGAATAATGAAGTAAAATAAATGTTTCTATTTATTATGAATTTTTAGGACTAATTAAGGTAGAAGAATGTTATGCTAGATTAAGTGGATTTTAAGAATCAAACAGTTTTGATTGACCAAGTGTAAATTTTAATGAGTGTTTTCATTTTCAGGTCATCTTAAATGGAACAAAAATATTACAAACACCTTTGGTTTTAGCTAAAGCAATTTTTAAATGTTTCATTATTTTAAAAATAAAATTCAACAACTGGTTTCTTGCACAGCAGGCCTCTGCTTTGTAGGCAGAGTGTGTGCAACATGTTAAAATGCTAACAAAACAATTTTAGCTCAGATGTTGAAGTGCCAAAAAGTAAACAAGAATTCAGCAAAAAATCAATCATTCAGCATCTTGATGCCATCTAGCAGTTCTGCACTTCAGATTTAAAATGAACAGATAGGACAAAAAAGCATAGCTTTATTGATTACAAACTGGAAATTGGCCTAATTCAAGATTTTGTTAACCATTAAATTTTAGAATGTAAAAGGAATGTTGATGTTCAAGAAAAATCAATATTATTATCAAAGTTTATATGCTCATTAGCTTTTCAAAATTATCTTGTATGAAAAATAGGTGACCAAACTGAAACACATATAATCATGGTATGAAAAATAGGTGACCAAACTGAAACACATATAATCATGGCCTAGCAAGTATTTAAAAGTGTAAATATGCATTGTGTCATATAGTAAAAACAGCAATCGGCAACAACTAAGAGGAAATCCTACATTATAAATACAGATTACAATGTCTTAAACTGACTATGGAATAAAATGTTGTGTTGAATGAGGAATTGCCAATCAATATAAAAATATAATATTAAAAAGTTCGGACAATTTAATTTGAAGTCATTTAACAAGTACACAATGAGTGAAACAGAATACTGGTGCTAATAATCTATGGAGAAACTTAGAAGATGAGCTGTCACAGATTTAAAATATTGAAACAAGCTTGGTGGCCGAAGACAGACAGACTGACAAACTACCTGTGGACATAGATGCAATTGGTAAACCAGTGACAAAGAAATAAGAATCAATGAATCATGCATATCCATTTTTTTTAAGTTAAAATTAACATTTTCCAAAAACAAATGCACACTTTAACCATTTACATACATGTATATGTAATAAAAATTTTTATTAATACATGTAAGAGTTTAATTGTTTTAACCAAAGCCAGAAATAAAGAGCAAAAATCCTGTAAAATCAATGTACATCCAATTGAAAAAAAAAATCTTCAGATAATGAAAATTACAATAATTAACATAGGGAAATAACAAAGACATTAGGATTGTTTCATCAGATAAAAAATGACTGCCATCTTGTGATAATTAAGCTATAAATATCAGATTTATCTTCCACACAATCACAATTATGTCACGCCAACCACTATGTGATTCATCAACACTGCACTTAGAACAACACAAACTCTGCAACTGCAACATTTGTCTCTGCATTAGGTTGTACTTGCATGTTTTTCAGAACCTTACTTTCATGTTTAACAGCAGCTAGTGCATCCAATGCTATCACAGTACATCAAGTAACCTAGCTTGAACATTGCTGATTTCAAACGTGAAGTCCTATAAGCATTGCAAATGAACTCAGCTTCTGAATTGTCAAAAACAAGTCGATCATTAAAATGAATTTAATGTATTTGTTTTCTCTAGGTACTTATTAAAAACAAAAAGATTTTTTTCTGGAACTTATTTATGCAGGTCCACAATATTGACCCTACAACATACATGCAGTTAAAAAAACATCTTAAAACTAGAAATATGTCCATAGGACATGAATGCCCCACCGAGGGTATATTAGTAATGCAACATGAAAATTTGTATTAGTGTATGAAATTTGATGAGAATATCTTGAATAGTTTCTTATCACTTCACTATATAATCAATAGAGCCCCGCCCTAACACCAGAACCCCTGACCCAGGGGCCATGGCTTTCACAATTCTGGAAGAGGCCCACCTCCTCATCATAACTATGTACTAAGTTTATCACCTTAATGCCCAGGAGCAGAGGAGAAGATTTTCAAAGAATTAATGCATTTTCACTATTTAGTCGATAGAGCCCCGCCCTAACACCAGAACCCCTGACCCTGGGACCATGAAATTCACAATTTTGGAAGAGGCACTCTTGCTCATCATAACTATGAATTTAGTTACTTTATTAAATATCCAGAAGCAGAGAAGAAGATTTTCAAAGAATTAATGCATTTTCACTATATAATCAATAGAGCCCCGCCCTAACACCAGAACCCCTGACCCTGGGGCCATGAAATTCACAATTTAGAAAAAGGCACTTTAGCTCATCATAACTATGTACTTAGTTACTTTATTTAATACGCAGGAGCAAAGAAGAAGGTTTTCAAAGAATTAATGCTTTTTCACTATATAATCTATAGTGCCCCGCCCTAACACCAGAACCCCTGACCCTGGGGCCATGAATTTCATAATTTTGAAAGAGGCACTTTAGCTCATCATAACTATGTACTTAGTTCCTTTATTTGATACCCAGGAGCAGAGAAGAAGATTTTCAAAGAATTAATGCATTTTCACTATATAATCAATAGAGCCCCGCCCTAACACCAGAAGCCCTGACCCTGGGGCCATGAATTTCACAATTTTGGAAGAGGCACTCTTGCTCATCATAACTATGTACTTAGTAACTTTATTTCATACCCAGGAGCAGAGAAGAAGATTTTCAAAGAAATAACACACTTTCACTATATGATCTATATAGCCCCACCCTGGGGCCAGATCCCCTGACCCTGGGGCCATGAATTTCACAATTTTGGTAGAGGGCTCAATGCTTATTACAATGATGCCAACAGTTTGACTGCTTGATGTCCAGGAGTAAAGAAGAAGATTTTTAAAGATTGCATTATTTTTGGTGGTTTTAGCCCCACCCCTCAGGCCCCAGGGGGGCAGGGACCATGAAATTCACAATTTTTGTTCCCCTTCATCCATTAATGCTGTATACCAAATTTGGATGTAATTGGTTCAGTGGTTCCAGAGAAGAAGCTAAAAATGTTCAAAAGTTTACGACCGACGAACGACGACGGACGAAAACGGATAGCAATAGGTCACCTGAGTTTACTCGGGTGACCTAAAAAGTTGAATATTGATGATAAATTCTCGCCAAATTATGTATAAGTGCATAAACTTACATAAATATATCTTAAATGGTTTCTTTAAAATTAAGCAAAATGCAAATCTAAGAAAAGTGAGGTCAAGGTCACAGGAAAATTCAAGGTCAAATGTTTTTGATGCAGTTGAATACTTCTCACAAATACATATCAGCATATTTAAGTTTGATAAAAATATTTTGAATGGTTTATTTAAAACTATAAAGCTAAAAACTAATTTAAAATAAATGAATTTACGGTCAAAGGAAAGGTCAAGGGCAAAAAATGTTGATGCAGTTGAAAAGGTTACATCAGTATGTATAAGCATATGAAGTTTGATAAAAATATTATGAATGTTTTGTTTAAAACTGAGTTAAGGTATTCAATGTATAACGAAGGGATTTTGAACAATTTTGAATCATTTTAAACTAGTTAAAAATGCATTGCTATATAATGATGAAAGTGAAATGAACCAAATTCACATGACGGATAACATATAAGAAGTTGGTCATTTTGCACTTTAAAGTTTTTTGAAGAGTTAACTGCCCTTGATGCAAAGAAGAAAATTTTAATTTGTCAAAATATCTGTGGAAAATGATTAATTTTATTTCATATTTTAATAAAGAGAGAGTGTATGCATATTTTCACCAAGAGCTTTTTATGAAATTCAAAATACTTTTTACAATATCTTAATAACACATCCATTGTCCATAGACTTAAATGTAAAATTCAAGGTGCAATTAGTTTGACAATAATCAAAATTTTGTAAATTTCTTTGGTGGAGTATTTTTATTTCACAACACCTTCAAAATGATACCATAATTACAAATATAGGACCTTTCATTTATTAGATACAAACTATGGTCGTTATACATTGATTAAACACAAATTGAGAAAAGTGACGTCAAGGTCAAAGGAAAGGTCAGGGTCAAAAAATATTGATGCAGTTGAATAGCTTACATCAGTTTGTATCAGCATATGAAGTTTGAAACTAATTTAAGAAAAGTGAGGTCAAGGTCAAAGAAATGGTCAAGGTCAAAAAATGTTGATGCAGTTGAATAGCTCTCATCAGTATGTATTATTAACATATGAAGTTTGATAACACTGTATTGAATGGTATCTTTAAAACTGAGCTAAACACTAATTTAAGAAAAGTGAGGTCAAGGTCAAAGGAAAGGTCAAGGTCAAGAAATATTGATGCAGATGAAAAGCTCTCATCAGTTTGTATCAGCATATGAAGTTTGATAAAAATATCTTGAATGATTTCATTAAAACTGAGCTAAACACCAATTTAAGAAAAGTGAGTTCAAGGTCAAATGAAACGTCAAGGTCAAAAAATGTTCATATTCATGGCGGGGCATAAAAATATTTAATAATATGCTTTTTGCTATATGATCAAGTTAGAGCCCCATCCTAACACCAGAAACCCCTTACCCCAAGGACCCTGAATTTTCTAATTTTGGTACAGGGGTCAATGCTTATTATAATCATGCCAACAGTTTGACTAGTAAAAGAAGACTTTTTGAGACTGCATTAATTTAATTTAGATGGTCTTGGCCCCACCCCTCAGGCACTAGAGGATCACAGACAATGATATTCATATTTTTTGTTCCAATTAATTTACCCATAGATGATATGTACCAAAATTGTTCAAAATGGTTCAGTCATATCAGAGAAGAAGCTGAAAATCTTTTAAATTAAAAGTTTACTGATGGTGAACAAGGCCTGGAAACAGATACATGTAGCAGTAGGTCACTTGAGTGACTCAGGTGACCAAAAAATTCTCTATATTTTAATTGATTCCTGACATAATGTGCCAAAATCCAACCTGAGTAATTTTCATTAGAAGTCAGCTATGAAAATAATTATATGAAACAAAGGACAATCTCTACTGGTGACTTATCTGTTGATTTTATCATTGAAAGTATAATAAGCATTGCACTATAATACTCAATCCAACTGATTCAATGGGATTTCAGTTACAGGTACACAATTACTAAAAACTTATTACTGAGAAAATTTTTGCCCTGCTGCTATTCAAACCAGTACACTGTATCATTTTATTAAGTTTTCATACCCTGTAACCTCTCAGCTGAAGATGTAGATTTACAGAATTTTCCTTCCTTTAATTAGTTTTATGATAAAGTACCTCAGGAAGGGATCAAATTTTCAAAAATCATTTGGGGGCAAGGATCCATATTTTTAACCCCCTGAGAGGCAAGGAACTAAGTTTCTGTACCTGATTTCCTCTAGGTGTGAACTTATTTAAAAGCTTTCCCCCTCACAAATGGGATCAATAAGGTTTGCCAGGTACCGTGCAGCACAGATGGGCTATTACGTGCACTCATTGTTTTAACTTCTAGTGTGGGGCTGAGATTACGTTGTGCCGTTAAATTGATTCCTATGAACATTATCTCTGCTAGCAACACGAGAATTCCTCCTAACAAACCACAATGTTTCCTCAATTCATATTTACAGATGCACAGAGTTTTGAGCCTCTTTGAACTGTGCATTTTTTTTGTGATGTGTGATTCTCTACAGGTGTTTTATAAGAGACTAAAGTTTACAGGACTGAAATAAATAGGCCATGGAAAAAATTGAGAAGACTTATATAGGTAAGAAAAATCAAACCAAACTTGATGGAAAATTCTAAATGAAAACCCTTTTTTGAAATTATTAATAATCAATGGTTTTTATGATCAACTTTTAATTATAATTGTTTGCGCTTTAAATAATTCATTATAGCATTGAAATATTTGTGTTCAAACAATAAATGAAGAAAACAACGAATTTATAGGCTTTATCAAACACTACCACCACCTCTTTTCTTATCAATTTGTTTAACACATATGATACAAATTTGGCTAAAAATAAACTCCAATATAAATCTAAACTTGATTCCATGAAATAATAACAAAGTTAAGTTTTAATTAAAAAGCATTGTTAATTGTCAAATTGATTCTGAGTAATCTCTTGTTCAGAATACTCCTCGAATTTTCTGGATTCTAATTGATTTTTTCATAATTTTATTTAGAATACAATTCCATTTTCTTTATGTAAAAGATGATAAAATATTAACAATGTTTAACTTCAGAGAATAAGGACGTATAATTCAAGAAAACGGCACTTGTTTCACTGTTGGAAGCTAAAGTGCACGTTCGCCAAATGTTTTCCCTCAACTTAAATTTGCATCATATGATTATGGCTTGTTTAAACATTCAGCAAATTAATGACCATCTGTGTTTTTAGAGAGGAAATGTTTTATTTTCATCACAGATATTGATTCTATTATTCATTAACACGAGTGTGAAATTGAATAGTACCTAGTAACAGATTTGTCCTGAGTAGTGTGGTGATAGAAAAAACAGATTTTTTAAAAAAATGTGTTGAAACTGAGCATTTCTTTTGAACCAGGTATTTAACCTAATTTCCAACTAGTGCATAAAATATTGACGTAATTCTTAACAAGTTTACAAAAGCATCTTACTTATGCATTTATTCTGTAATGAGGCTAAATAGCAAATTAAGCTGGAAGCTCTGTGGCAAAGGCAAATTCTTGCTAAATATGAAACTTTTTGTGATTTTTTTTTTTTTTTACAAAAAAAACAAAAACAAAGCTCTAGCTATTGTTGTTAATTTTCATAATACTACCGAGTAACAACTATGTAGGTACTATCATCGGTATTATCTTATAAAAGTACATGACAACTGTGTGCTGCACTGCATAAAACTAAATGAAGACTTAATTGTAACGTACATCAGCCAGAAACTGTGGTTCTTAGATTCACAGTCATGATACTATAGTATTGTTCAGTTAATCAGACATCATTATAAGCTCATGTTGAACGTAAACCTGCACTCACAGTTTACAACAGGTGGGTTTTATTATTTTTTAATCATAATGAAAGCAAATCAAGAAATTATTAAATTTAAGTATTTTTAATTGTGACTGACAAGAAAATAGGATTTAATATTTAAATTTACAACATAATGGTCTGACTGAGGACTTGAATCATGCACTTCTAATTTTGCGTAATAACTTAAAATTATTTTTTTTTTCCCTTAAAGCAATCCAAACAAAAATTCAGAAACAGGTCATTTGAGATGTGTATTGCAGATCAGAGGCAATATTGTATAAAACCAGGTCGTGTTGAAGTAATCACCACAAACACTGTCTATATTCAAACTTCTGTCAAATACTAAAGCGTCTGAAATATCAATATCAGTTATACTGTCCAATCAATAAGGAAAATCAATCAGAAAAATATTTGCTTTTGTAATCAAGGCTCTAATTGGTGTAATTAAATCTCAATATGGCACAGGACTACCTGGTTATATTTGAGAGAAAGTCAACATTTCCAGGGGCTTACCATCCATTTGGCTCCTATTTATTGGTTAAGACCCAGTGTTATGTCATACTAATATCCAGGAAAAAAAGGGCAAGGTTACCATTGTAAAACTTTATGATGATTTAAACTTCAAAGTTAATATCCATAATTGGCACCAGAATGCTGATATTAATATGACTAAATGATGTCTATTAATATGCTTAACTGTTGTGGAGATTATCCATTAGTAATGCAGGACATAAAAGATACCGTAAAATACATCTTAAATTGCTAGATGAAATGAAATGGACCCCCAAAAATTGTGTAATGGAGGGTTATTATGATAAATGCAGCAATCAATTGATTTTTTTCTTGTTACTATTTTGGATTTCTTTCAAAAAGCAGGTGGAATCTCAAATAGACAGTATGCCTCTTCCATGCCTGTTTGTTTACTCAGCCTGCAATCCGAATAATTCCAAATAAATCCATACCAGTGGAATGATTAACAAAGAAAGAAATCAACTTTACAAACAGCAAAATTAACAGCCTCCAGAGGTTGTCAATATCCAAATACCCACAGTACCGGTCACTTAGTCAGTATCATTACACGAGACCCAATATTATGGATTTCAAAGTTAGCAAATGCACAAATTCCGGCCAGAAGCATTTGGACAAAAGAAATTAATTGGGAGATCTGTCCACTAGCCAAAAGCTAAATAACTCTGTTAGTTAAGGGATTTCCTAGAGCAGATAAATTGATTTTCATACCAGTAATTAATGAGGAAGGGAGTTTATTTACATCTTTTCATGTCGGAGAATTGGTATGAAAGGAACAGATAAAAACTGATTATAGAATGCACGCACAGCAACCAAAATCAGCACAGTTTCTGCAATAAATTAACGACATGCTGCAATTATGCTAGAGCCTAGCTGATGCAAATTTCAGACAGTTGGAAATTTTTCTTTATAAATCAAGCAAAATTCAAAAGACTAAAAATTTTCACAACACACCAATCAGAATTGCTTGGCCATATGTTCAATTTTCTGTAAACTGCAGGCTGGATATATGGTACGTGTTTAACAAATTTTATACAGAAAAATTCTACCCATTTTCCTCTAACTAATTTTTTAAAATCATAAGTACCAGTACATTTATTTCCCAAATCCAACCAGTGAGTCTACTCAGAATTTATACTGCTGAAACAAGATTAATAGATATGACGCAACATTTGTCAGACGTTTCCTAATGAAACATTGACACTTATATACACAAGAGTATCTGTTTATTTGTGATCTTGAATTTACAGAGGCATATTATGATGAAAATACTGAATTTTTTTTTTTTGCTTTGTCCCTGAATATACTCCTAATTAGTAATTAATTTCTGCATTTTGCAGAAGACCTTCGTGTTGATGATCAAATTCATTAATAAGTTGGCAAGCAGATTCCAGTCTAAATATCTTGCTGAACCTTACACAAAAAAATTGCATATTTTATTTGGAAGAAAAAAAATCAAAGTATCAAAAGAGGACATTACTGTCAACATGGCTGAATGTACACCTTATGATGTTGCAGGAAAATATGATATGAATGCACCATTAACTTGCAGCAACAACCTGCCAACATCAAAAGTACACAGTTACTAGAGCGTAACAGTGGAGAAATTTACGTGAGAATTTTACTATGCAATTTTGATCATGTGTACCAAGCAGAAACTGTATCTCTTGCCTGTTATAAATATTGAATGACGGATATAATCATTTTCTGAGGCACGGCAACACAGCAAGGTCAAGTTGTTATTTATTGCAAACTGATTTTTTTTTTTTTGCCCTGTTTACTCACAGTTGCATAATAAAAGAAAAACAATCTTGAAACATATTTTAATTTTTCAGGACTGAAAACAAATTTGTGTCAATATTCACAGAATATAGTCATTCATTTCCTGGTTGAAAAATTCCGTCAGTTTGTCAAATAAGTTTTGATTTTCCAAACAGATGCTTTAATGATTTTAAACATTTCTGGATATCAATTTTTTTTAAAAAATATAAACCATGTATTGAAATAGAATTTTCTTTCTTATTTTTCTTAATGATAACTTAGAAGTATTTCAGCCAACAGATAGACATATATAAGCTTCTGGATATTTTTGAATGAGTAGAACTAATAATTGTAATGTTGCTTTGACATATAAGAAATATGGCATCAATGCTGTAAGATTTTTTCTAAAATTATAACACTAATGGAAACACACAGAAAAGCACTATAAAAATGTTTCCCAATTTAACTGTGTAAAACTACATTTTTTCCACAATATATGGGTTCACAGTAAATAGCATAATCAATGACCCTGAATATATTTACTCCTATCTCATAAAATTTTATGTCCCTAGTACAATACATCATTCAATTGTCAATGAAAAATGTGAATATTCATAGAAATAAGACCAGAGTATTTATGCTCAACATTCATTTCAATGTTCAATAATAATAAATTTTCTCAGTACAATGAATCAATGGGTTATCATAGCTATAAGGATGAAGGTGTATAATGATTGTTTAGGACCTGCACTATCTAAGAATCAGCCATCATTAAACCCAGCCTTAATCAGACATGACCATCAGATCTCTTTGTCCTCCACATCAGATAATCCTGGATAATTGAGTTAATCTCTACAAATAATTCTCTGCTTGATTTATGGGGTGGATGCTGGATTTTCAGTGAAACTGATTATACAGATAAATTTTTATTGCTAGTTCTGGATAATGTCACAATGGCTAGAGTTGTATCCCTTTAAAATTAGACAAATGGCAATGCAAGCATTGTTATAAATTATTGAGATGTCCTTTAAAAACTGTTTTTCTATCACTTTTCTTTCCAACATGTAAAATGGAGGTATCTGACTCTCTTCAAATACAACTGACAGATCAATTATACATACGAAGCATATACTTTGAAAATTCTTTATCAAGTTTAAATACGATAATCTTTTCCTTTACTTGCTACACTTTTGGGAAGCCTCCTTTATCTAAGCAAGTCCTATATGTGCTGCAGATTAATATATTTTCTACAATCAAAACTAATTAGCTTTGACAAAAATTTCACTCCTACAAAAAAAAAAAAAAACCAATCTACATTTGGCTCTATCTCACAAGATTCACATGGAAAAAAAGCAAAGATCTGGATGTATTGACCACAACAGCCAAAGGAGAATTCTGTTTCTCCTACTGCAGCATTCATGATTCGGCAAAATTACCACCATTGCTGTCAACCAAAGCGTTTTTTGCTCGGAGTTTTCAGGAAATCTTGTAACTAAATTAACACAATCGTGAGAAGCCTTATCTCTGTGTCATCGATAGAAATTCGCTATTGATCTAAGTCCATAAAAACACTATATCTCTTTATCTCCCAGAACAATTTGCTACTTTTTTTTTTTAACATGGAATGATTTTCTGGATAAAACTTGTAATAGACCCTCTGTTCTAAGGATTAATTCATGTAAGAAATCTTAAAAGAGGATGGAGTATTTTGTAATCACAGTTGTAAACATTAAGGTTTTGTGCCATAATGTTTCTCACATACTATTGATGAAGATGCAATTAAAATGTCATGATAATCCATTAATATTATAGACCAATAAAAATGAAGATAATGAACAGTAAGCAAGCACAAAAGTCCATTGGAACAATACAAATTGGGAGCAGAGCAAACAGAGACCTCTAAAAACATCAAAGGGGGATCAGGTGCCATGGAGGAATAAGCATCCATAAGGAGCCATGTGTTCCTTGTCATGATCGGGTATATGAAAAAATCTGTGGACAATTCAGAGTGAAAATGATGTCTAATAATTTGACCTATGAGAAAATGAGAAATGTTAGTCAACATTCAACTTAACGATAGATTATATTTGCTAACAAGGTCATTATATCGATCATGGAATTTGCAAAATGTTGACTTTAAATGAGATTATTGATATCCTTGTATCATCAGCTAATTTGTCATTAGCTTACCTCACTTTAGAAATGCTGAAAATAAAAATCAACTGAAGAGGAAGGTTTTGTCATAGTCTGAATATACATAAAGTTAAATTTGTGATATTTTGATTTAAGCAAGTGACAAAAAGAAACTGAATGGAAAAAAATCTTACTTGGAAGGGTCAGGTTAGCCTAAAATCCTGATCTGAACTTAATAAAGTGTACAGGATTGTCTGTCAATAATTTGTCTGCAGTTAGTCTGTCTGTAAACTCAAGAAGTGCACATTCAACCTTTCTTCTTCTTTTCATTAAAATTAGTCATCTATTGATAAATTATTATTTTTATATTGCATAATTAAGCAGCCTGTATAATATCTGGATTCAGATGTCCTAATTAAATGCACTATAAGAATAAAAGTAACTTTCTTTAGAAATGAGTATTCTTTCTTGTGTGCATGTTGGTCCCAACTACAACTTCTAAATCTGCATGTTTACAAATCAGTTTTAAACTGCTTGATGTGCTTGTAAAATAATCCTAATAATTTCCTCGTACTTTGTAAACATTACAGAGATGGAGTGATGGAGCTACAAATTAAAAAAAATACTGAAAAACATTGATTGAACTAGATTCCACCCCCTTTTGGTAATCAAAAGTTTGTCGCATAAAGCAAGCCATTCTGAACAAGCACTAGAACAATTTTACCAGAAGGTTGTTGAGAAACACTATATCCTTGTTGAAGGAGATTTGGCACATAGTTCTCCATCATTATGAAGTACAGAGAAAACTTAGGCCAATTATTGATTATGTAGAGGATAAGGGCATATATAGCCCTGTTACACTCTCCAGTTCTTTACTTAATGTTCATCACTTAAAAACACTCAAATAAACCACTCGTCAATTCTGGGACCATTTCTCAAATCATCCCTCCCTCACTCTAGAGGGGGTAAAAGGGGAAGAAAATTTACCAAGGAATATTTTATCATAAAGAACAATAATCTCTTTTGACTCTGGAAAATAATGTGCTTTTTTAATTGTGTAACCTTGGAACTTATGATTCCTATGCTACATTATTTACAAGAGGGTGAAATATTTTGGAAATCAAGTTAATGATACGTTTCTACTTTATTTTGGATTTCAGATGCGTAGAAGCTGTTGGAATCGGCAAGCACTAAAGTACCCCTTGATGTTGTTTAAAGGAACATGTTATTACATTAGCATCTCAGGGTAACAAAACATTCAAACCACTGCTGGGAGTGGGTTAAAATTACAAAGAATGTCTGCAAGACAAACGAGTCTAATATAAAATGTACAGATTTCTGTGAGCAGACGGATTGTCAACATTTCTTCAGCAGTGAAAAGCATGTTGAATGCTTTCCCAGGAATGGAATTTCTGGACAAATTATCTAATATTTAATTCTCAATGAATATTAAAAATATGCCTTCTGCTCACTTTTCCATTTCCGTAAGGATTGATTTGATTGATTCAGAACTGGCTGAAAAATGATGTTTGTGCTGCTGAAAGTGACTCTATCAGAATTATTTTGCTGTTGTTAATCATTGTCTTCCAATTAGTTTCCTGTTCTGGAATTCATTATGCCATGACAAAAATGAACCTGCACAATGTGTATATTATTTAACCGATAGAAGGATTCATATTCAATTGAACACTTAAACATGATGTTTAAAGAGGCGACATGCTGAAAGTGCGAATAGACCTGTCTGTTCAACTTTTCAGTTTTCTTGTCATGAATTTTTTGTTTTCACACATTGTTACCTTTGAGAGCGATGCAACAAGGGACAGAGATTCAAACTGGGCATCTGGATTATGTCCGGAAAATTGTACGTGTAAAATGATGGATTACCCTAAATACAAGAGCTTTTTCAATAAGACTGTAGTGTGTATTGGAGTAGAGTTTGTGAATAATGTATTTCCAGAAAATGTTCCATTAGATGTACAAATTTTGGATCTATCTCACTGTCATTTGGTACGTCTCAGCTTCAAATTACCATTGAAAAATTTGAGATTTCTGGATATTTCGTTCAACAATTTAAAAATGCTTGACAGACAGATTCACAAGCTGACGGCTCTCAGACGACTTATCATTCAGAATAATAGCATATCATATCTACAGAATGGTGCATTCAGCGGTATGATGTTCTTAGAAGTACTTGACCTTTCAAATAATCAGCTGTATTCCATTGAGCCCCATACCTTTGGTGGATTGAATTATCTGAAAAAACTCCACCTCCAGGGAAATCGCCTGCATCATTTGTCTCCTCAGTGGTTTATCAGCATGCCAAGTCTCGGCTGGCTTTTTCTGTCTAACAATTTAATTGGACGACTGAAAGCTAATGTGTTTGAAACACTTTCTGGCCTCTTTACAATGAAGCTTGATGGAAACAGGATTACGCACATCGAGTCTGGTGCATTTAACGGACTAACACACCTGCGGATTTTGGATATGACAGACAACCAACTTCAAACCATTCCAACACAGGAACTCCACGATCTTCCATTGCTTCAGTACCTTTACTTTGACAAGAACCCCATTCTACGTATTCCATATCACGCCTTTCACTCTGTGAATCTGACAATGTTAACAATGAGTTACATGCCTGAACTTAAAGTTATAGAAAAAGAGTCATTTTCAAATCTTAAACATTTGGTAACTTTACAACTTCACGATAACAGTGAACTTGTCTATATAGATCCCAAAACTTTTGTGAACTGTTCACGACTGAAAAACTTGTATCTCCATAACAACAAATTAGGAAGTGTGTCTTCCGTACTAAAAGACAGTCTACCAGCATTAAAAACACTACACCTATACAACAATGAACTAGAGTGTGACTGTAATGCAATGTGGATAAAACAGGAAAATCTAAAGGAAAAATCGAACACAACTTATAGATCTGTACTATTTGGGGACTCCATGCTTAAGTGTAGTGCACCTCCAAGTAAGAAGGGCAAACTGCTTCGAGATTTGCCTTTATCCGATCTGAATTTCACCTGTGCCCCCGTTTTAATTCCTCTTTTTAAAAACCGTTACAATCTCAGCATTGGAGAGGAGCTGCATTTGGAATGTTACACAATGGGATTACCTTTTCCCCAAATAAGTTGGCGATTACCCAACAAAACGATTCTCCGCAAAGAAAATCTACAATCAGGACGATATAAAATTCATAACAATTCCACATTTATTCTGAAATATTTATACGAAACAGACACAGGAACTTATTCCTGTCAAGCTCAGAGTGTATCTGGATTTGATGTGAAATCCACATACGTAACTGTCAACAATAAACCTGTCCGGATCTCTCCGGAGTATGTGGCTGGAAATTTTATAACAATATCATGGAACGGAACTCGGAATCAATGGTCTATGACAGGTTATGAAATCCATTATAGGCAGTCTGACAGATCTGACAAATTCCAAATCATTCCATTAGATAGAAGGCTTCGACAGTTTCGCTACACATTTACGAATCTGACCCCTTTAACAACGTACATGTTCTGCATTGTGTATGTGTTTGAAACAGAACTATATACTGTTCACTGTACAAACATAACCACAAATGATCTCGATTTAAATGAGATCGGAATAACGCACATAAATTCTAAAATGGTTGTAGGTGTTGTGACGTCGATCTTCATGTTGTTGATTCTGGGATGTTGTGTTTTTGTGATACGTCGCGTCGGTAAGAGGAAGGACTACCTTGAACCACTGTATAGTAACGACACAGAGAGTCTTATGGATGTAATTCCCTTAGAATCAATGTATCAAGGGCAGACAACTTCGGCAGCATGCTCTTCCCGCACATCGCTGATTCAGTCACAGGATTAACTTCCAACAGGTGCTATGGCAACAATGGCAAATTATTGATTGTCAAATTCAAAAAAATTATAAAAATATACAAGGATTTACAATGACATTGTTAGTGTTTTACTAAAAATGAAAATCAAAGTATTATAAAAATGTGTGTTCAAGTGCATATGTAAGGGCATTTTTTTTTTAAATAAACAAAAACCTTTACAATAAAAATGTAATCTATACTTTGTTTCTCCTCAATCTAAGGTACAAGAGGTGAGTAAGCATTCAAAGCCACAAATTGAAAGGTTCCAATACATTCGATAAAAATTATTACTGTTATGTATGCAACAAACTTTGAATATTTTATATAAAATTCTCGTGAGCCTAGAGATAACTGTCCCCATCTCTCTGTCTGTCCAGTTTTCAACACTTTTAATCGACATGATAATTTGGGTACCATTTTACCCACAGGTTTCATATTATTTAAACTATGTAGCAGGGCTGGCCAGGGATAATATATTGAAATATTGATAATATCAATTAATTCTGATGATGATAGTATGATGACGGTATGCATTTTGAAATATTGAAATATTACAAAAAAATTCGAGACTTAATATTTCTTTGTTTACTTAACATTCTGGGTTTAATATATAAAATAAATACATAAGATATAACCATAAATAAAAACTTACACTACTTTTGTTTAAATAATTTTATTTTAAAACAGATTTCTACAGCATCTAATATGAATAAATTATTCTTATTTGTGAAAATTATACTGTTCATTTCAATACAAAATGAAAATTTTATAACCAATTAAAAATATAATGACTTGTATCTATCATGGAACACAAATCGTGATATAGTATCAGTACAGATGGTGTATTGTCTCAGCCCCTCAAAGTAGATGGATGACAGTCAGAAAAGCACACCAGTATGGTCACTAGGTCAAAGGTGAAGCCAAAAGTCGAAAATTGCTGTGACCAAATGCTCATTTACTGGTAGGTGATGCAATTACTAAGATACAATTGAACTTTAGTATCTCGACCACTAATATCTCCATACCATGGATACATTGAAGTGATTTGGAAGTCTCTGCAACCACTTATTCCTTAAGTATTTTACCCTCAATATCTCGAATCATCGGAAATTTTGAAGTTTCTTCTCAGTCCCATTGAGTTCGGGATAATGAGATTTTATTGTATTTATTACATATATAGACTTCATAAGTACTTATGGATGATTAGAGTGACTAGAAGAGTTTGGAGTTACTAATGGTCAAGTTCAGTGGTCAACGGTTTTGAAACCTGATTTGACAACGCATTTGTAGTAAATGACTACTGATATGGCTATTACAATAGAAGAGCCAGTTGTTCTAAGGTCAAGGACAACATTAATGATACAAGCACACTGCAATAAGGCCCAAAATGACTTTGTTGTCCCCTCATGTTTTTATGTGTTTTTTTCTTTCTTCATTGTGTGTCTGTGTGTGTTTGCTTGCTTGTTTGTTTTTTTTTTTTTTTTTGGGGGGGGGGGGTATTGAAAATCTATGCTTTATCACATTCCTCTTGGAAATCACTGTGTTATAAATTCAACCTAGATAAAGGAAGAAAGATGGGCCTGTTGAGAGAGACGGATCTGATATCCCTCAGAAGTGAAAAATGATGCTTTTTAGTATAAAATTAATTGCAATAAATTGGAATTCTTCAAATCCACTGTGACTTTGCAGTGCTGTAATCCTCTTCAGGGAATAAAGGCCACAATGACATTCACTTCCATCACCATGAAATTACTTTTTCTCACGCAAACTGCATGTGGCTATATTCCCACAGGCATGATCAAACATAGAAAACAAAATCAAAATTCAATACAACTTTCCCTGAATGCTCAAGCACTAAGTCAATATTTCACTGTATAGCGTACTGAAAAATTAACAGTTTTATGTTTGCAAAATGTTTTGTTTTGTTTTTTGAAAAACTAAAAGAACAGTAATAGTTCAATAGAAAAAATAAGATAATTGGACAACTGAGCAGATTTCAAAAGAAACATGAGATAGGAGATTTGTCATCTGCTTAATCAATAAATATGAACCAGATTTCTGTCATGATTAGATATGAGAACCACTTTCTTTGCAAGCTGACTGTGAACTTGATAGGGACCGTTAAGAAAAGTAAATACTCAGGATTGGAGCCAAGTTTGTCAACAGACAATAGGATTTCCTTCAGGACCATTAAATACTGGTTTATAAGGATGCATCATGAAGATTAATTATCCTAACTTTTTACAAGGAGCATTATGGAAAATTAGCAATGGATGTAAATATAGGCACCTGCAAGAGTTGGGACTCAAACTTTACATTATCAGTTCGTTATTATGTGCATAATATATAGTAAATGAATATTCTTCTTATTTTCTTAAGTTCATAAACCCTCTGCTCATTCAAACAAAATGTAGCTTTAACTTTTATGATTTTCCTAAACAAATATATTTTATAAGTAAAATACAAACTATACTATCATAGCTTGTGGGGTAAAATTAAACAAAAAAGACATTTCAACTTGACAGATCAATAAAGGAAAAATAGGCATTTATGTAATTTAGAGTTATCTCTCTTATCAGAGTATCAATGAACCTTAAAATGTATGTGTATTGTATGAAGCTGTTTCTTCATTTTGAATATTATGTACATCACAAAATTTTATCTTATTATACAGGCAGCTGTATGATGTGTACTAGCTTAATATATTTTAGAGTACAGCTATTCAAAATTTATTGCAAACAATATCTGAATCATATGAATCAGTGATTTCAGTATTTAGTTGTATAAATCAACAAGGCCAATTCTAATTATTTCTACCCTAGAGATTTTGATAAATTTTCTTGAACTGATTTTTTAATATTATATATAATATTGTTTTAAGATTAAAAAAATGAATGTTTACCATCCCCCTTTCTTAAGAGGCTATCTCAAAAGTTGTCAAATTTTACTTTTCGACTCTATGGATCTTTGTTGGAAAAGCATCAAATTATCACATTTTTTTCATATTATTGTATTTCTGCCCTAGAGACTTCTTTTTCAGCCAAGTACAGGAAAGTTATTGTAAAACGTAACCAAATTGTGAAATTTCAAAAAAGTTGACCATCCAGGTTGATGTAGGAATTATTACAAAATTTATTTTTTCAATGTCCATGCAATACCTCTAAAATTGCCACATTGCGGTCACAGGTACTTGTGGACAGGACCCCCCCCCCCCCCTCCCCAATTCAACCCCGAGGTTTATTGGACATTTTTTTCACAAATTATATTTATTACACTTATTCATCAATTGTACCAAAGGAAAAAATCATGAAAACCCCCAAATAATTGTTCCAAACAAAAATACCCCACTATACATTATAAGAGAGTGAATTATAAACCCCAAAATAATCATTCCACACAAAAATAGCTCACTATACATTATAAGAGAGATCTCTTATAATGTATAATGGGGTATTTTTGTGTGGAACAATTATTTTGGTGTTTTCACGAGTTGTTCCTATGGTACACATGATGAAATAAGTGTAATAAATATAATTTGTGAAAAAATGTCCAACAAACCTCAGGGTTGAATGGGGGGGGGGGGGGTCATGTCCACAAGTACCTGTGATCGTGGTATATGTATATATATTTATCCTGCAACTACCCCTTGCATTGACCTAATAAAGGTAACCTAATAAACCAAAGCTTTATTCAGTCAACGTCCTAATAAAGCCTCGTGCATGTATTCCGACGTTCTTAAAGCATTGTGACGTCATGTATATTGCAATGTTTACGCCATGGCGTCTTATTTTCAACTTGGCAGAGATGTACCCTAAATCGGTTAAAAATAGCTCGTTTTGGAGGTCATGTAAAAATATGTTGCAGGATAAACAAAATACATGGATACTATCCTGAAATATAAGCAATTTTCGGGCTCGGGTCAAAAGAGTGATAGAGGGCTGGGCAAGCCTCACCCTCTATCAGTTTTCTTACCCTCACTCAAATATCGCTTATATTTCAAGACAGTAACCATGTATTTTATATATATCAGTGCAGATGAATTATTGGCCCAGATGAACTATTTAGGTAAAAAAATAGCAATGTTTAGATTGCTAGTATGTTTCTTTTCATGTTCTGTCAACAGTTTTTAGTAAAATATCCATGGGCATCTTGAATATACAAGCGAGTCATGTGTCATTCTTCAGTGACATCTTTAGAGCCATTTCAGGGGTTTTTTCCTATTTATTGTCGTAAAAGCACAATTTCAGACCCATAGGTATTACAGATAATGTTAATTTTATATTAAAATCACATTATTTGGGAAAGGTGTAATGTCGCACATATGACTGCATGAAATTAAAAAGCTGCACAAAGTCATGCACACTCGAATTAGACTCAACCTCATTCATTGAGACGAAGAAGAGGAAACAGATGATCTATGCACTTGATCTGATGTGATATCACATATTCATCAAATTATAACTTACTTGATAGACACAATATCGCCATGCTTTATATTCCCTTTCTTCAGAAGATTGTGTGATTTGCTTAAGAAAACATAGTCATGTTGTTTCCTCGATTTACTTGGATTCAGTGTGTCCTACAAAAAATTTAAATAAATTTTCTTATTTATAATTTCAGTAACAAACTCTTTATATTACTAGCATAAGGGACACAACTCTTAATAATACATTGCAGATTGGTGTACCATAATGGCATTGTATAGAAATCTTAGTATAATAATAAATTTGTTAATGAATCAAATTAATATTGATATTATCACATTCAAAAATAAAACTAATTTGCCAATATTTAGTATTAAAATACCTTGTAATTCATTTACTACTATAAGTTATTAATAGTGATAATGTACAATAAATTTGCTGAAAGACACTTGGCTATATGAGATTATAAATCACCAAAAATAAAGACTGAAATTTTAAACATTATAAATGTCACAGGGTGAATTATAATTAATTAATTAATATTACTAATTATCATTCATATCATATTCATACATTTGTCTAAGGCATCATATTATTATAGTAACTAGTGAATTCCGTTCTCACTACGGAATTTACTACGTTCATTCATTGCCTTATTCATTCATTCATTCATTCATTTATACAGGTGAGTGGTCAGTGAGAGTACGGGTGTGTGAGTGGTCAAACTGGTTTTATTCTGTCCCCTGCGCATTCGCGCCAATACTAATTCTCAAGCACTCCAACCTAAGACTTTGGGGAGAGAAGACGCTGTCTCTCCCCAACACAACTTTATCTCACGATAATTGTGAACTTTGTCTAGGATTTACGGTAAGAAATAACTGGTAAATTATTTCTAAGGATTCAATTACTATTCAATATCTATTTGATCATTTTATTTCAATCAAGTATTTTATAAATTCTCCAAATTTATAAAATTTAAATTATGATCCGCGTAAAAGTGTGAGTGAGGCGAGAGATATTTAATACCTGTTGTTATATTTCAGGTCACCCTTCCTTCTATGTTATAAAATTCCATAACCGTAGAATATATATTATATATAAACATCGAACCCAGCAGCAGTGTTGTGTTGTATTTTACCACATTTATAAGGCTGCGACATAAATTAACATTATTAATCAAGCATGCATAAGACATTTCAAATTTGTCTAGGAATTATTTCCTTTACTTTGGACCTTAAACTCGTAAGCAGTCAATAAACATCTACATGTATGCATCTGAATATTAAAATTTGGAATGGTCTCGTTTCTTTTCCTCCAGTTATAAAAGCTTATATATCCAGAGTGTCTCTAAAAAGGTCAATTATATGGTATAGATGAAAAAATACAAGCACACCAAAAAGCTAAAGCAATACATGTACACTCATCGCTCAATACCTGCATAGAGACACCATCAACCCTGCTGACATAACCAATGGACTCTTCTAAGGCGTAGAAACCAGTGATGGCAGTCATACAGACCCCTAGTCCAATCTTACCAATTGTTTTCAGCGTCTCTTTTGACATCTCGATCTGTAAGCAGGTGATCTACAACATTCAACCAACACAATTTAATTCACATGTACACTGTATGATACTGATTAATTTGAAAGGGGGACAACTGCTGAAGCCCACACATTTATCCTCTAGTCTATTAAATACAGCTAAACTTCCGTATCTCACCAAAAGGATACTCTATAGCTGTGTTAAGCTTGATCAAACCTGGCCTAATAGTTCTGGAGATGAAGGAAAAATGTAAAAAGTTTAAGAAGGCGACAGATAATGGACAAATTTTATCAAAAAAGCTCACTTGAGCCTTCAGCTCAGGTGAGCTAATTACAAAAAACTACTATCCAGTAAAAGGTAGTTGTCTATGGGAGCTATATGTGTATTAACCTGTGAGACAACTAAACAAATGGCATACTCTAAAATTTAACTTAAAAGAACTTTGGAATTTTTGTTGCCTTAATTTTGTTGAAATGTATTTATGGTTATTGCATGGTTGAACCTTTATGTTGACAATGAGACACCGATTGTTGCATGTTAAAAGTATGTACTTCCACTTTCCTAGCACTGACATAGGTAATGATAAAAAAAAAGACTTTCACTTCTTAACCTTATGAACCTTGTCCAAATGATCATGGCTTCGAATTGTTATAGTCATCATTGACACAAGCAGTATTTCTGCCTTTTAGAATTTTACATTTCTAATTCCTTTGGAATTTCTTAAGCTTCCATGCAAGCCATACCTTAAAATTTGAATTTGTCTAACTAATCTTGTCAGGGTCATTAGATTTCTTATGGTCATAATCAATTTCAAATGTCAGGTAATGTCTGATCTTCTAATAGTATTTCATAACAAAGTTATGGTATTGACAAGATTTTTTTCATTTCCAAATCAGTGACCTTGACCTTGTCCAAATGACTTTGGTTCAGGTTCAGGGTCATGACATGCACAAACACTGGTCAGCAACCTTTATTCCAAATATAATCTTTTAATGTGTTAAAGCAAAAGCAATTTTCTAAAAGGTCTGATTTTAATCTAATGTTCAACACTGCATGGTTTAGGTTTAGGACACAAACGATCTTTGCGGCCAAGTATGACCGATTGACTTTCCACGGTGAGAAAAAAGCACTCAACCACTTATCCTGGGCCAGTGAAAATCAACTGAGAACAAGTGAATGTCATAATCTTCTTGTCTCCAATATTTTTAATCTGATATTTTCAGGAGAGGGCTACAACTCCATTGCATCTCTGTAATGGTGCAAAAATATTTATTTAATACAGGTGTCATCAGTCAAAATAACTTGCTTTACGATTTGACTTCCTTCGAATACGATGGATTTTTCATTCATTGACATCAACCTAGCCCTTTAATATGCTTTAAATAGAAGTTATAAAGATACAATTGCATGGTTTTCCAGTAGTCTTCCTCAGCTGCCACGACAGCTAGGTCTTGTGTGATGTACTGATATGTGGAATTTTAATACTCATTTACAGTGATTTTCATGCTTAAAATGAGGAATAAAAATTATTAATTGATTAGATAGAGTGAAAAATATCAGTCAAACCTATCATGTTCTCCAACTCACTGCTCTAGCTGATTCCATACTTTCAGAACATGTCAACAGACAACTTTGCTGTCACTGTTAGAATTTATTGTTTACCGATTCCACATACATAGCAGTTATATATTTATAAATATGAGTCATTTTACCTGTCAATTAAGGTTAATTTAAATCTTATTGATTTTTCCCAATTTGACATAAATGTTGATGATTTTTCCCAATTATAAAGGCCCAGACCCATTTTAAAAAATGTAGAAAAATCACTGCAGTGAATCACTCCCGCACTTGCACCATTACAAAGATACTATGGAGTACGTTGTAGCCCTCTACTCTCTCTCAAAAAAAAGTGGTGACCGAGGGCTACATTACTACATGTACATTACTGCAGCTTCAAATGATAGTACTGTCCTACTGCCTACATCCAAGTCAATTTTCAAATGTTAAACATATTTGAATGATTTTTCATATTTATACAGATACTACCAGGGACCTATATAGTTAGTATATAGGTCCCTGATACAGTGATACAACCTGTATTATAATTTTCCCATTAGTGAGTTTGTAAACTCACAACTTTGAGCCAAGTCTGCCATGTGTGAATGAAAGTTTGAAGTTACAGTGGTTATGGTGATATGTATGCCACTTGTCAATTCATTTGTTCGAAAGAAGGGGGCACCATAACCCACATGATCTGACGGCTTATACAACATCGAGAAAACTCGGTCCGTGCACATGTAACCTTGCTCATTTTTATTTATGCTGTTATCATCAAAGTTTTAACTGTGCATTTGGGTAAAAATAAAATGTGGGGTTTACCTAAAATTATGGTACCGTATACATGTTATATGCCTCTTTCTGCGCGCATATTCTCTTTTCGAGCTGGTCTTGCGTAAACAGAATATGTCCTTTCGTTTCGACGTCTTCTGCTAAATGTCGTAAAACCCATGCTGCATTTCAAATTCAATGTGATGAAAATTATCACATTTACTAAAATCATCCCTTTAATAAGAAATAAAAAATACAAAGGGTGTGATATTTAATGGACGTAAATATCAGACCACACTTTCTTATTTAACTTTACAACAATCAACAACGGCAAGAGATACTACATCTAAAAATAAACCTGGGATTTTCCAACAATATCCTATGACGAAACAAATTTTAGCCTGACTAGTGGATATGTGAGTAACTTAGTTAATTAGTAAGATTTTCTTGACTTTTCGTTTACCAATGTTATCCAGAATATGACAAACATCGTATTTTGTGTACATAATTTCTTTGAAAAAGAGTGTACATGACCTTGATCTACTGAGAAGTGTAAACAGGTAAAACCACTGAGATGGAAGAAGAGAAAGTTGGAAAAATATAGAGAAAATTCAGAATGAATAAGATACCACCTTACATGTACATGCTAGATATTACAAAGAATTTTAAGAGAAATATTTAAACAATAATTATGTTAAATCCAAATCTTTGCTGATTAATTTCAAAAAGGTTAACGTTACAGTGTGACAAAATTCTGATATAACGTTAAACCATAGTAAAAGCAGAAGTGAGAATGAGAATAGTTTTACTGTAAATTCTAAAAGGTATTAGCCACAAAGACAAATTATATGCAGATTCTCGGGTGACAGCTATCAGGCATCCTATCCCAGGCACGAGACCTACAATGTATTCTCTTTAGAGAAGTGGATGTAGGCAAAAGCCTGTCCACTTCTCTAAAGAGAATACAGTAAAGCAAGCTTATAATTTTGTCTTTGAGGTTAATACCTTTAAGGATTTACAGTAAAACAAGCTTATAATGAAGTGTCAGATTTTGCGTTGTTATAAAGTAATTTGTTACATCTGTTAAGTTTACAGACAAGTATAATTATAATAAAAAGTCACAGGGAATGAAAATCACTTCACTATAAACATCAATTCATTATATATACATTTGCAAATGTTTTCCCTTATATAACACTATCTAAGCAAGGGGTATTTAATTCTGTGTAAAATCAGGTTCGTCATGTGTCCTTAAATTCATTGTTCAGTCATAAACGATTGACATAATTTCTCAGTGACGTCATAAGTGGTAGACAAGTTCAACACATTCAATTTATACTGTTGGGGTTTGAAAAAACTAAATCATTTTATGGGTTTTAAATTTTAGCACATAATATATGTTGTAAATCAGTTTCATATGTAAATAAAATAAGGTATCATTTAAAAACTTTTATCTGGATGTAAATATGGGGTGGTGTGTGATCAAATCTACCATAAAAACCTTAGGCTTTATGGGATTTGATCACATGACCAACCCATATTTACATCCCTATAAAAGTTTAAAAATGTTACCTTATTTATTGAATAAGCGTGTTTGCTATAAGTGTCAATTCATAATAAGTGTTTTTGCTGTAAGCATGTTTTACTGTATTAATGAAATTAGAAGTATTTATGGGTAAAGTGTCCCATCCTTTTTTCAACACAGTTTTGATGCCACATAGGCAAATTGATTTACAGTATTTGAAACATTTAAGTCTCACTGGGACTTTCATCAATAAAATTTGGCAACGAAAACTGTCTTTTTCCTACAAAGATACTTGATATAATGTTTAAATTTATAAGTGACAAATGTGCTTGAATTACTTTACTTTCTTTTCTATAGTAATAACAAAATCATGGCTACATGTACCAGTACTCCAAGAGACTTAGATACAGATGCTCAAGTTATTGATGAGAGATCTCTTCCTACAGGACCAAAGCACCAATACAATGGACCTAACAGAATAAGTAATGCGGAAGTCTACAGGAATGATCCAAGGTATCCTAGAAATGCTACACAAGAAGCTGTGGAGCCGTTCGAGCTGGTTCACTTTGTTTTTGTATCAGCCAAAGAGGATTTTTCAAAATTTGAGGAATTCAGAATCTGGTTTCAAAGGATTGTATACACAATAGAAAATGGAAAATTTGTAAAAATTGAGACCCACGATAGCGAAGAGTTTCCTCCAGCACATGATGATAATGTTCATGACATATGTGAGAGAGCAATATACATCCTACCATTTCTCACCAAGAACTACTGTTCAGACAAAAAGCTTCAATTTTTCACTAGTGAAGGTATTGGCAAAACAAGACTTGATCCAACAACACCAACTGGGCACTGCTCAAAAGTTGTTAAAGATCAAAAGATGTACTGCATCAGGCCAGTTCTAACAGCAAACCCCCAAGCTGGTGAATATTCTATTCCAACAGGTCTTACTATGATGCGAGGCATTGATTACTACTGCAAGGATGAAAATCCGGGATTTGTTCAGAAACAAGTCATTGGCATGGTAAAAACAGCCATTGCGAAGTTCCAGGAGAGAGAGAATGCCATGATCGCAGCTCTCACAGGAAATGATAATTTTTTGGATGATTTTGATCGTCGCTTTGAGCAGATGTGTGGACCACCACCAACGCCAGAGATGTTCATGAATAGTGCTTCAAAGGAAGTGACATATTATAATACAGAGAATATTTTCAACATTAACAGCATGCCCGATGTACATACTTTGCAAGGTAGATCTGTAGTCCAAGAACAAGGAGAGGAAAGGGCAGAGGTCAGAGAGGGGTCACCACTGATAAATGGCAGATCCCAAGCCGCAACAGGGAATAGACAAAGTGGTATTCAAGAGTCTCAAGGACAAAACACCACAAGTCAAAGTAGCTCAGCAGAAGCAAGTGGAGGTGAAGACAGCAGTACCTTGGATTCTTCTGAAAGAGATATTTCTCTGGAGGTTGACAATGGGTCACTGAGTAGGAGTCCAACAGACAAAGAAAAATCTGAGAGAAGTCAGGTAACCTTTAAACAAGTGTAACAAGATGGATTCTATAAGTTGTATTTCAATGCATTATAATCAGGTTACTGGTAAAAGGTATATTATCCATTAAATGCTTTAATGCACTTCTTAAATATATCACCAGCAAAAGAAAAAAAATCTGCTGTGAGTGAATTTTATTCCCAGTCACAAAACACAGTTACTTGAACTACATATACATGTACAATGTATGAATGAGATTTCATTTTGCCTGAAAATGAAAGTTCAGGCAATACATCTTTCCATTAGTTCTAATCTACTGGTCTCAACATCCTGCAATGGGATTTGAACCAGCGATGTAAGGATCAACTCCTTACTTTGCATCCCTAGAGCAAACACTCTAACCACTGCGCCACGTGGGCGACTAGTGGGTGTGTATCTGAACTGAGAATATTAATAGGACAAGGTTTAGGATCATAAGCATGTACATGACATATTGTGGAATCATTTTAATTTTATGGGCGTCAATGTTTGTGGTCAAGCAAAATTTTACTTGTTTGTGGGGAGGTAATTTCGTGGGTTACTCGTTTATACAGTAGATTCAATGAATCAATATGTTCAAAATCATGGGGATGTAAATTCGTGGGTAAGGGTGACCCACGAACATTGGTCCCCCAGGAACAATGATGATTCCACAGTACACATTGATAAATAATGCTAGAGTGTTCCAAGGAATGCATGTGTCGCCTGCTATAGCATCATTACATATATAAATAAATCTAAGAGTGGTCAGCTATTTATTTGCACACTAGTATTACATAATGTGAAGTGGTCAACTATTTATTTGCACACTAGTATTATTAGTTCATGCATTTGCTTGCAAAGAAAAAAAAACACAGATATTAAGACTGTGATAAAATAGTATTTATCATAAAGTGTGATAATCAAATAGAAATATGATTCCTTGGCCCTTAAAGCTAAAATGCAAATAAAATTATTAGAAATAACATTTATGTATTCTATTCATACATGTTTAATTCAACAACGTACCCCTCAGATTTGTAACAGTTAAGAGAGAGATATCAGTCTGCTTTTAATGCAGTTATCAGTCTATAACTTTATATGACTTTATATTAAATGACCATTTTGGTATACTGATTCCAATGTATTTTTATAGTACATGTATTTATAGTCAATTTGTGTGGTAACTGATCATACAATTTAAAAGTACAGTGTCATGAGCTCTCGAATCCATGCGTCTCAAAATTCAGAAGACATAAGATAAATTAACCATATAGCATACATTGGAAAAGTAGGTTAAAGATCAAGGTCAAGTGAACTGTAATGCAGGTATTTTTCAAAATGTCTTGACATTCAAACAGTGCTGCACAGTCATGTTAAATAGCACAGACTTAACCTCTCTGTTCTGTTTAACGTTCTGTATGACAATGAATGCTTTCAGGATCAGCTTATGAGGAAAGAAGTCTGTTCAACTCCTACAAAACCAGGTCCTGGTTTGGGGGCTCAAAAGCCTCCAGATGATGAAGTTGTAATGAATTATGATTCATACACAGAACCGGCTATAGCATATGTTGCCAAGGCTGCAGCTAGCAACACTCAGGAGAAGGAAACTGTAGGAAAACCAGCGAAAAAAGGCAAAAAGCCTAGTAAGTCACTAGTACTGTTCGAATTCCAAACTTTTTTCTGTTGAAAAGATCATCTTAATTATAAGAGAAGTCGAAAGTGAAGTGAACTCAGAGAAAATTATTGGTATTATATACCTTTAAAATGATCAAACTTTGAAGTCAACAGTAGCAAAAATATGGAATTTGGATGGGTACTGCAAATCTGTCAATTTGCTTGAGTGTGATAAGTTTTGATAGCCATATGTCAATACATGTATCAAGTACAAAAGCACGTCATATTTTCATTAAAATACAACCTGAAAGTCCTAGCTCTCTTTTGATTCATGATTTCAGAGGAGACGTTTAATATTGTCATCAGCAACTGCAATGTAGTACAGATTGGGGATGGATCAGCTCTTCATACTTCAAATATCAAAGGACAGAGGTAAATATCTTAGTCGTAAATAAATTGCTCAGTGATACATGTAGAAGCACTCAGGCTACCAAGCTGTAAGAAATTTTGTTTTATATGCATCTATTGATCTAAGATAAAGTAACTTCATTGAAACTCAAGATTAGAGTTTTTAGCTCACCTCAACGAATGTAATACCCTCGGCGTCGGCGTCCCAGGTCAAGGTTTTTGGAGCAGTTTTCTTTTTAAGTACTTCTATGGCCTATATTAGTCAGAGATACATGGAGGATGCTTCTAGTGTGTTTCATTGTACCAGTCAGGTTTCAGATGCTGCAATTTCAGCTAAAGAATGACCAGGTTAATGTTTTTGGGGCAGGTTAAAGTTTTTGGAGCAGGTCTCATTTTCAAGTAACTATAAGTCCTATATTGACCAAACTTGCATGGATGATACATCTAAGGATGCACACTACTGAACTTGCTTCGGATGCTGGATCTGACCTACATTTTCTGGATGAGTGACTAGGTTAAGGTTTTTGGAGTAGATCTCATTTCCAAGTAACTGTAAGCCCTATATTGACCAAACTTGCGTGGATGATACATCTAAGGATGCACACTACTGGACTTGCTTCGGATGCTGGATCTGACCTATATTTTCCAGATGAGTGACCAGGTTAAAGTTTTTGGAGCAGATGTCATTTCCAAGTAACTATAAACCCTATATTGACCAAACTTGCATGGATGATACATATAAGGATGTACACTACTGGACTTGCTTCGGATGCTGGATCTGAGTCAGACCTATATTTGCCGGATGAGTGACCAGGTTAAAGTTTTTGGAGCAGATGTCATTTCCAAGTAACTATAAACCCTATATTGACCAAACTTGCATGGATGATACATCTAAGGATTCACACTACTGGACTTGCTTCAGATGCTGGATTTGACCTACATTTTCCGGATGAGTAACCAGATTAAAGTTTTTGGAGCAGATCTCATTTCCAAGTAACTTTAAGGCCTATCTGAACCATACTTGCATGGATGATGCATCAAGGGACGAACAATCTCAAAACTTGCTTCGGATGCTGGATTTGACTTAAATTTTCTGGATGAGTGACTAGTTTTAAGTTTTCAGATAAGTCTATTCCCAAGTAACTGCAAGCCTATCAGACCAAAATTGCATAATTGTTGCATCTTGGGATGCACACTCCTAGATTATTAGTTTAGTGTGGGACTTTGCCTTACTTAAAGACAACATTCATTGAGGTGAGCTCTGTAATCTCTAATTACCTATGTTTAATAGAACATAGAACTCTGATATAACATTTAATTCCACCATTGAAGGATTTAATTTCTCTTCTACAAATATACATATTTGTCCAATTTACAGAAAAGCAGATCTAGGTAGGAATCTCAGCAACGACACAACCTGGAATGACTTAAGCACAACAAAGCCTGGAATTAGAGGGGAGGTAAATCATGCTAGGCCATATACTGTTACATATAATATAAATCATCTTTAATGTTCTACTGTGATTTAGTAACCCATCTTGTGTTGAATTTTTTTCCCCCCAAAAAAACAGAGTTTGTGTTTTTAAACTTTTTTACTTATTAGGTTCCTTTCCTCTTAAGTCATTTCCTAATTTTATTAAAATGAATAGCAATGAATATAAAGTCTATTCAGAATCCAATACATGCTTTTCTTTCTTCACATATACATGATATATGCATTAAATCAAATACACATCATCACAACCAAGATGTTTGAATTCATAGATTTTTTTTTCATCCCAAAAAAAATTTCACACCTATTAAATTTTTTATTGTTGCAGATAGTAAAATAATAACTTGTGATTTTTCAGGAGATGACCCAGTGTCAGAGACCAAAGGGTTCAGAAAGTGATAACGAGACTGTGATCCAGGACAACATCCCAAGTGACTACAGTCCTACAGGTCTGGCCTCAACTGCTACAGAGACAGTACAGGGTGAGTTTATACAACCAGACATCTAATAATCTACCATACTTTTATATTACAAATGTAATTTAACATCTTTTGGCAACTTGAATTTGGCCAGACAACAGCTTTGGATTCATTCCTCAGACATATTTTTTGTGTATTATTGGTGCAATAATTTCAGTTCCGTATTATTGGTGCGATAATTTCAGTTCTTTTCATTATTATTGACAATGACTGTTAGTTAAATAAATTATTTTATCTGTCCATAGATAAAAGTTGCTGGAAGTCTCTAACTTCAGCATCTTCAGTGATTACACATACTCTTAAATTTATTGTGTACAAGTTAATGTATTTGAGCTTAAGATCTAGTGCCCTGCAAATATGGTAATAAAAACAAGGTAGGGGGTAGTGTATTAGTCCCATTAAAACAACTCTATTCTTATTCAAGATGGATGAGGCTTAAAATCAATTAAAACCAAACAATAATGTATTTGTAATTTTTGAAGAGAGTATGTTATATTCATACACATGTTTGATGAAATCAAGTGATTAGATGAAGTGATTTAAAATGACAGATTTTGTTTTTGTTTCAGGAGACAGAAATACAGGTGATTACTCTGAGAATCTCGGCAGTGATCCAGAGGTTTCAAACTCAGATATGATGGACTCTTTTCTGGGTAAATGACTTTTGTTTAATAAGTAAATATATATGTTTATTGTACATGTTCTCAAACCTAAGCAGTCAGGGCACAGTCTGCATATACATGAACAGGTGACTCGATGGCTCAAACTCCGATCTCTAAAATTTCTCTATCTCTCGAAGTAAAACCCCTGTCCTATTTTATCCTCTATAAAACTAAGCAAATTTACTCTCGATCTCTCGAACTTCCGATTTCTCAATGTTCTCTATCTCTCGAAACTAGTCATTGGTCCCGTTACACACATTTCATTGTTTTTTTTACTCTCTGTCTCTCAAAGTGTTGATTTTGCATGTACGCCAATTAAGAGTGAAATTAATTCAGCTATGACTTACCTGTATTACAGTGAATATCTGGGGCTAGAGTAGATACTGTAAACCAACTTTTATTCACGAGCGAGAAATTTTTGCTAAGTTCGCGAGAGCCTCGTCATCGCGAATATTTCTCGCCGTGAACCGGTCTGTATAGTCTCTGTTTATTTACAACAGATCCAAAGATGGCTTAATCGCAAAAATTAATCGTCGCGAACTAATTTACCCCCAGTAAATCGCAAATAAAGTTGTCGCGAATGAAAGTTGGTTTTCAGTATGTTAAGTAGGTGTTTACATAGGTGACACTAAACCTCTGTGTCATCCGAGGGTTGAAAATTAATTGGTTGATTGGTCAAGTAAAAAAACAGATAGTCATTGACTGTTCATGACTGATTTCGCCATAGCAGTCATCGAAATGATGATTTTTAGAGTGTAAATAATAGGCATGTCAAATATTTCTTATAAATTACAAACCTTTATTCTATTTCTACACAATCACAGTATGGCAACTATTGCACAATTTTGCAATCTCAATAACTGAAAAGATATATGGAGCAATCAGTTGTAGGGTCCAGTGAACTAGGGGATATCAGGCATGCCATGCTATCTGAATTAAGTAATGAAATTAAAACAAAACAAATAAATGTTGAAACTGAAAGATTTTTTTATTATTATACCCCCGCTCCGAAGGAGAGGGGGTATACTGTTTTACCCTTAAGTGTCTGTCTGTCTGTCCGTTACAAATTTTGGTCGCAGTTTTCTCAGCAACTACTCATTGCAGATGCTTGAAATTTTAAGACAATCTTTCTTTAGGCATGCCATATGGTGGGATTCATTTTTGTACGAATCCGTTGTCAACTTCCTGTTTATCCGTGTGTCTGTCTGTACCATACATAACAAATTTTGGTTGCAGTTTTCTCAGCAACTACTCATCGCAGGTGCTTGAAATTTTAACACACTCTTTGTTTAGACATGCCATATGTTGGAATTCATTTTTGTTCAAATCTGATGTCAACTTCCTGTTTATCTGTGCGTTTGTCTCTACCATACATACATGTAACAAATTTTGGTCGCAGTTTTCTCGGCAACTACTCATCGCAGATGCTTGAAATTTTAACACACTCTTTGTTTAGGCATGCCATATGGTGGGATTCATTTTTGCACAAATCCGATGTCAACTTTTTGTTTATCTGTGCATCTGTCCGTACCATACATAACAAATTTTGGTCACAGTTTTCTCACCAACTACTCATCGCAGGTGCTTGAAATTTTAACACACTCTTTGTTTAGACATGCCATATGTTGGGATTCATTTTTGTACAAATCCGATGTCAATTTTCTGATTATCATTGTGTTTGTCCATAACTGAACTTGTGTATTCACATCAGAGCGGGGGTATTATTAGTGAGCATTGGCTCACAGACTTCTTGTTTAATCAAGATACTGTCTTTGTTGTTTGAATTATCAAGTGAATTACTAGTAAAATACAAATGAGTTTTCAACATGAATGAATATTTCTGGTAAACATAATAATAGAACCATAATGATCGGACCAGAAAATTAAGGGATTTCTTTTCCCTTTAGATTTCTTGAACCCCTCTATCTCTCGAACTTTTTTAAAGGACACTTGAACTTTGAGAGATCGAGAGTCACCTGTATTACTTAAAAATTTGTGCAATTTGAATTGTCATGATCTAATCTATCAATCCTTCTACTGGTATTTAATTCTTTTTCAGACAACCTGTTGAACGATCCCTCCCTAGAATCCCTCCCACCTCTCGGAGGAGGCACATGTATGTTGATCTACTATACAATTTGTTAATTTATTTGCTCTAGATTTTAAGTAACAAAGTAAACTAGATACATTGAGACATGTTTATTCTGAACATGCTTATATTCATACTTTAGTCATTCTACAAAAACATGACCAATTAAGAATTTTTTATGTCGCTTACAAATTTACCGTTGTAATATCTTAACTATAAATTTAAAGGTCGACTTCAACTCTAAGACTTAACATACACACATGGTTTTGTAAATATTCACCAATATATATGAAGTTAAAGTTTTGATACGAACATAATGTTATGTTGAAAAACGTATTCCACTGCAAATCTTAATGTCGCTTCATTTATTTACAAATTTCAAGATGAAATTTCCAGCTGTAAAATCGTTCCAAATAGATTGCAATGAATGTTATAAAATGTCTTTTATCCTATATAAAAAGAAATAAAACCACTTCTCGCAAAGAAATGCATGGATCTCCTTTCATGCAAAATCATAAGCATGTCGCTTAAGATTGATTTACTTCTGTAACGATTTTGTTTTAAATTTCACGCATAGAATGCAGCTTTAAAAAAGAACTGAATTTTATCTGAAAGTGACTACGGAACCTTATATCATCGATTCTAGTTGCGAGTCAGCTATTTTAGACAATTACATTTTCGACATAACAAAATGAATTAGACAAAAACAGTTGTCTCTCTTAAAAATTTAACTTCCGTAACGGTAATTCAGGAAAGTTTTTGCATTAAAGGTATAAAAAATTTTATTATTTTGGGAGCGAAAGGCTTCATACTTTTGTTTAATATCCTAAAACAAAGTTTAACTTTGATTTTAACTATTGAAGAAAATTTTAACTTTTATTGCTTGGAATTAACGATTAACTTCCATAACAATACCTTTCCCAAAAATTTAATTTAAATTTAGATTCATGCGAGACTTCTTGAATCATACTTTAGCATTCTTTATTGAACATCAGAAATGAAAAATTGGTCAAATTCAGCTTTATTTAAAAAACAATAAGGATTGATCAAGCATTAACTTCCGTAACATTACCTTAAAATCAATGGCATCTTGAAATTGTTGTAAAAAGTTAACGATACCAGATTTGTGGACAATTCTTTGTCTTCAAGTTCACTGATATGTCCTTTAGAGAATTATGATATTCATTTTGCTAATTGAAACAATTATTTTTTTCATGTTTTATACTCTGAATTGGTCCATTTATTGTAGAATGACTGACTTACAATCCCTGAGATATTGCTCTTGTGCCCCTTCTCATATTTCGTTCTTTGTACCTGTTGCGGTAGCCTATTTATAGCTAGTGGTTGGGTGCTGGCTTTGTGAATGGGAGGTGCAAGTTCAGTTCTCCTTCCTGGTAATGCATCAAACTTAAGACATTAAACATAGAAATAACTATTCCTTTGCCAAGCCCATGACATTAAAAGTGGAAGTCACAGGTCCTTAAGTTGAGACCTTTAAAAAAAAAACAAGGTTCTGTGTCATGTTAGGATTGGCACTATAGTTATGGCCATAAGCACCATGCATATATGTCAACATTTATGGCACTTCACCTAAACCCGGTAACGTTCCGACATTGGTGAAAAATTCTCAAACAGGATGCTAAACAATATGCATGTATAATCAATCAATCATCCTTCATTCACTGTTTCCTCACAGTTCAGTTTTTGTGCTCAGTGTTCCTTGTGTTTGTTCTTCTTAACTCTACTTTATTCCCTCATTCATCAAGTTTATTTTAAGTAACTAAAAAATGAAATAATGTGCTAAATGAAAAAATAATTTGATGCATCAAAAAGTGTGTTTTTGACTCTTATACACAGAGAATAAAATTTTATAGACTGAAATCAAACACAAACATACAAAAAATACCCTCTACTTCTGTTCTTTATTTTCATTCTTCATCAATTACCTAACTTTGTTTGCCTTTCTCTCTTTATGGGCTCTCCATTTGCTCTGATACCATTTAATTTGAGAATAGAGCATTTTAAAGACTCTCTAAGTATAATGTTTCCATCAGTACTGTGTATTAATGTTAAATAACATTCTAATTGGATTTACAGTCTAGCCTTTGTAATCCGGACACTTGCATTCCCCAAGCAGACCGCCCAGATTATATATGCAGATTACTGAAACATACTTTTTATCATTGGTACATATTAATCCCCACAAATTTTTCCTGATTTAACAAGGCACCACTGTACATTGTATATTGAAGAATGGATATAGATCTCTCATGAGGTCTGATATAAGCATTACTTGTTGTAAATTAAAAAAAATGAGTTCAGTTATATATATAGCATAATCTAAAATACGACTGTGTCTTTTTCAGATCCCCAAGCAATCTGCCTTTCTAGGTTGCCCGAGTTTGCATTTCCTTCAGGCTCTATAGAGCCAAGCTTTAGTTCTAACTCACAGGAGCCTGCCTTTAGCTCAAACTCACATGAGTCTGCCTTAATCTCAATCCCACATGAGCCTGTCTTCAGACTCTGTAAGAATACACTGAAGAGATACAACAGTTGTGACAGTGGCTACCATTCTCACTTCAGCCATGTGTACAAGAGTTCTACATCGGCCATTGGAGATGGAGAAAAATATGAAGATGATGTGGACTGAGGGGTGGATCAAACAATTTTCATAACTTTATTTATTGAAATATCAACAGCTGGATACAGAGTTTGTTCTGTTATATCTTGAATTATTCGTGCATTTGACAGTAAAGAACTCGGTATTAGAAATGAGAGTTGAGGGACAGTCATACAAGACTTTAAAATAAATGAGTCAGAGTGAAAGATTGCATTAATGAATGCAAAATACTTAACTCTTTCAATATACCCCCTGGTAGCTAGTTTGAAAAAGTGCATTTTTATTGCATGTATATTTTTTGTATTGTGATACAGCTAAAAATCACACATGAACACTAAAAACATGAAAAACAAAAAAAAAAGATAAGAAAAAAAAATTTTAAAAAGGAGGAAAGAAAGTAAAATCAAAGAAAAAAATGCTATATATGAAATGTTTCATATCTACAATGTATACTGCACATCTATTCAAGTGAATATCTTTTATGTTTTATCAATTATTTCTGCAAAAAAAGTTACAGGACTGAACTTTTGGAATGGTTTTGTGAAAAAATATTCCATTTTTGTATGAAGAAGTCATTTGATTATAATGTCATTATCTAGACTGTAATTAGATTTGAGAAAAAATGAATACAGGTATGTTTGAAGTATTATTTAGTATGAGGAAATGCATGAATTGTCTGATACAGACAATTGTATGTAACTTAAAAAATTAACATACACATATATCTTGTTATGACAGATGTTAACATACAGTCAAACCTTGTTATCTCGAACTTGATGGGACCGAGAAAAAACTGAGAGATATCTGAGGATTTGAGGTATCCAGGGTAAAATACTTAAAGAATAAGGGTCGGGACTTCAAAATCACTTCAACATATTCGTGGTATTGGAGATATCAGTGTTCAAGATACCGAAGTTCAACTGTATATTATTTGGACTTTATCTTAAGTGAACATTAGTTTATTAAACAACGAAGATGAATTACACATTTTATAAGACAGCTAAAAGTGTTGTATGACTCTAGAGGGCCCTTACTGATGACACACCTGTACCTTATTGTCACAATCATGGCGGAAATGTACGATCCTAGCTCTCCCATTCTGGATGGGACGTTGAATGAGAAGAATATATGTGTAGAACTTCAGTCATTATTAAGCCTTACATTATGCAGATGATACATGGCAATTATAATTGAAAATCCAGCTAATAAATGGTGTCTAACGTTATGAGGCATTACCATAGATTGTTTTGAACATCAACCACAAACCATTCATCAATCATATATCCTAATTGTACGTGTTATCAGCAATAACTTTATAAAATGGTAAACAATTTGAGTAATGCACAACTTTGAGTGTGACCTTTGTATAATTTTACACACCAGGCCTTATTTACACTACCATATATTATAATGTCAGATGTGATTGTGCAAAGATTTACTGCAATTTGGAAAATCTTTTTTTATTTGCAAGAACTTTATTTTTGAGTAGTTATGCAAGACTATCCAGTCGCTAAAATTTCATTCTCATATATATATATATATTTACATCTATTTAATATGATTAAAGATTATATATAATTATAACAATATCAATTTTGTGAAAATTTTGACTTGCTTATAAATACAATACTTATGACTAAAATAATTTTAAAAGGTGTCACGGAAATGTATTGATCTACAGTATCAATTAAGCGTGTATTTTATTCATCACCAAATTAAATTAAACCTGCTGAAGAAAACTTTATCTCATATTGTAGGTTCTACAGCTATGCATGGCTATAAGTATGTGATATTTCATAATTATGTGATAATTATGTTGTAATGTTAGAAAATAGTTTTCCTTAGCTCTAATGTTCTGTTGATGATTGGTTGTATTATGTATAATTCTGATTCAGAAATGAGTGTAACAACAATTATAATTTATATTAAAGAATTCTTCACTTTTATTTTGTATAAGTTTAATGTTTTCAATCACATTGGAAACACCACCCACTGCTTGAAAAATACATGCATAATTTATGCATTAGCATGAGGACCACATATTGCTAAAAGCATGTTACGTTACATTGTATTTAATGTATACGACCATATTTTGTTCCTAATAAATGAATGGTCTGAATATTTTTAATAATGGTAGCATATTGAAGGTGTTATCAAATAAAGATACTCCACCAAAGGAAAGTACAAAACTTGATTATATTGTCAATTTTACTTTGAAGTCTATGGGCAGCACATATGACATTAGATATTGTAAAAAGTAATTTGAAATACATAGAAATCTCTTGGTGAAAATATGCACAAACTCTCTCTTTATCAAAATTATATGAAACAAGATGTGTTTGTGAAACACTGATGCCCCCGTATGGCAACTTATAGCAAAGGTTAAACTTTCTCAAATGCAAATCAAATATGATGGTATCCAAAGTAAGGTCTTGGCTCGAGGAATATACCTGTGAAATATGAGAGCCCTATCAGCAACCATTGAAAAGATATGGAAAAGTTTAAAGTTTTTTCAAAAGTAAGTCAAACATCAAGGTCAAATGGTAAGAAATGATGGTGCCTAAGGAAAGGCCTCACAAGAAATATACTGGTGAAATATGAAAGCTGAAGCACCAATTGTTCAAACGTTATAACCAAGGTTTAAGTTTTCCAAAAGTAGGTCAATCTCCAAGGTCAATGGATTACAATTGTTGGTATCCAAAGGAAGGTCTTGTCACAAGGATTACATATGTGAAGTATGAAATCCCTAGCACCAACGGTTCACAAGTTATGGCCAAGGTTAAAGTTTTCCAAAAGTAGGTCAAACTCCAAGGTCAAGATCAAAGGGTCAAAGTTGTTGGTATCGAAAGGAAGGTCTTGTCACAAGGATTACATATGTGAAGTATGAAAGCCCTAGCTTAAACGGTTCACAAGTTATGGCCAAGGTTAAAGTTTTTCAAAAGTAGGTCAATCTCCAAGCTCAAGGTCAAAGAGTCAAAGTTGTTAGTATCCAAAAGAAGGTCTTGTCACAAGGATTACATATGTGAAGTATGAAAGCCTTAGCACCAACCGTTCAATAGTTATGGCCAATGTTCAAGTTTTTCAAAAGTAGGTCAAACTCCAAGGTCAAGGTCAAAGGGTCAAAGTTGTTGGTATCCAAAATAAGGTCTTGTCACAAGTATTACACAGGTGAAGTAAGAAAGCCCTAGCTTCAACTGTTCAAAAGTTATGGCCAAGGTTAAAGTTGGGTAAAATTTTGTAAAACTAGGTCAAACTCCAAGGTCAAGGTCAAAAGGTCAAATATGGCGGAACCCAAAGAAAGGTCTTGTCACAAGGAATACACATGTGAAATATGAAAGCCATAGCTCCAACCAATCAAAAGTTATGGGCAATGTTAAATTTTTTTGCGGACAAACAGAATAAAACAGACAAACAGACAGACGGAAGGAAAGGGCAAAAACTATATACCCCCGAATCTTCGATACGGGGGCATAATCATTTACCACAGATATTTTGACAAAATAAAAAGTAAAAATCGTTAAGATCTGCTCACCTTTGGCTTTGCTGACAATGATGTAGTATGTCCAAGCACTTTGGAGATTACAAAATTAAAATATTCTAACTTCAAATTCGTGATCTATAAGAGTCATTTCATCCATTATTAAATGATTAACCCTAATAGATAAAAAAAAGTTCCAACTTGACAATTTCAGTTAGGTTTAGTGTTCATAATTATAATATTCAAAATGAGGGTCGGACATTTTTCTCCCAATTTGCAGGTACCTATTATAATTATTAAGCACAAAATTATTATAAAGTAGTTTGGATAATGAAGCTTTCCTATGAGGAACAATATCAGTAAAAAAGATTTTAAAGATACCCCATCCTAATTCTTTTTAGGTCACCTGAGTCACTTAGGTGACCTATTGCTATCTTTTTTTGTCTGTAGTTGTCCATTGTGTGACGTGCCTTGGTTGTATACACACTTTTGAACATTTTCAGCTTCTTCTGTTGAACTGCTGAACCAATTTCAACCAATTTTAGAATATGGCATCAATTGGTGAAGGGGTACAAAAATTTTGAATTTCATGGTCCCTATCCCCTGGGGCCTGAGGGTGGGGCTAAAACCATCAAAATAAAGTGCTAACTTTAAAAATCTTCTTCTCTGCTGGAAATCAAGCCTTAAAACTGTTGTCATGATTGTGGTAAGCATTGAGCCCTCTAACAAAATTGTGAAATTTATGGCCCCATGTTTAGGGGTTCTAATGAACATATAATGAAAATGCAAAAAATGTTTAAAAGTCTTTTTCTCTCCCCTGTATATTTAGTAGATAAACTAAGTGCATGGTTATGATGAGCAAGGGTCCCTCTTCCAAAATTGTGTAATTTGTTGCCCCAGGGTCAGGGGTTCTGGTGTGGGAAAGGGGGGCTGTATTGGATAGTGAAAATGCACTTATTCTATTTGTCTGAAAATCTTCTTCTCTACTCCAGCATGTTAAGCAAACAAACTAAGTAAATAGTTATGATAGGTAAGGGTCCCTCTTCCAAAATTATGAAATTCGTGGCCCCTGGGTCAGGGGTTCTGTGGTTAGGTTGAGGCTGTATTGATTATATATATATATATATATATATGTCTGAAAATATATGAATTCTTTGAAAATCTTTTTCTCTGCTCCTGTATATTTAGCAAAAGTGCTCAATTATGGTGTGCAAGGTGCTTCTTCAATAAAAAAAAAAAAGAAATTTGTGTCCCAGGGTCAGGGGTTCTTGGGGAGGGGGGGGGGGGGGCTTTTGATTACTGTATATAGTGAAAATGCATTATTTCCTTGAAAATTTTATTCTCTACCCCTGGGTAATTAGAAAGTTAGTGCATGTTATGTTATGCAATGGTGCCTTTTCCAAAATTAGAAATTTCATGGCCCCTGGGGCTGGGGTTCTGGTTTTGGGACAGAGCTCTATATTGATTTTTTTGTCGCCCACATGGCGCAGTGGTTAGAGCGTCTGCTATAGAGTCGCGGAGTAAGGAGTTGAACCTTATGTTCCGGGTTCGTATCCCACTGTGGGACGTGGAGACCGGTCCTTCGGATGAGACCGTATAAACCGAGGTTCTGTGTTGCAATTGGTGCTGGCACGAAAAAGATCCCTCTCTGCTCAATGACCGTAAGTGCCGAGTATAGGTCAAAATTTGTAGCCCTCCACCGGCAAGTGGTGGCGTCTCCATATGAGTGAAAAATTCTCGAGAGGGACGTTAAACAACATACTATCTATATTGATTATATATTGAAAATGCATTAAAATCTTCTTAGCTCTTCGGTATTTAGTAGGGATGGCAACAAATATTCGAATATTCATTCGATGAGTTGATATTGGAATATGAATTTAAGATTCGAATATTCGGTTTTTCAGATTTCATAAAAAGAAGTACAGTACTGTGATTGATAATTTTTTATGAGAACAGTGGTTGGATTATCCCTGTTTAATTTACTAGCGATCAATTTCGATTGCCTGATTTCTTTCACTACTTTCTTATCTTATAGATTTACTAAATTACATGTATTTTGTTTTGAGTAAGGTGTTTAAGAATTGTACAATAATTAATGCTTTATGTATAATACAAAACGTACTTTCATAGTTTTTTTTAGTTAGATATGATCGGATCTAGAATCGCGGACAACAAAATGAAATCTTGTTTGTTTATTTTTCTCTCAGACCATACAATGGTATATGAGGTACATGAACATATTTACATATATACAAAATACAAAGTCAAGTAAGGAAGAGTAGTATCAAATGAAATAGTATTACTGAAAACAGGCCAATATCTTTTTAACAAACAAAGACAGCTTTATCAGTGAATCAACATTTGTGGTAGACATAAGATTCTCAAACTTATAAGTATTTACATGAAAACAATACTTCTTATCAATAATTTTCATACGTAATGAGGAAAAGTATGGACATTCCATTACATAATGGAATTCATCACCCAAAGTATTTTTATTACATAAATTACATATTCTTAAAGATCTGTCAGTATTAGTCCATCTACCAGCTTCGATTGGAAGTTTGTGGTTACAAATTCTAAATTTTGTCAATATAATTCTCAAATCTTTTGGGAGTTTACTTAGGTACATTTCTCGTCCAAAATTGTTTTTAAAAATCCTGTAATTCAAACATTTAGATGAATTTTCTATGCTCATATGCCAGTCTTGTAAAAATTGACTAAACAATGTTTCTTTCACAATAGATTTTAACCAAGAAATATAAAAAATTTTGATTCATCCACACATAAGACAGACCACATGAATTCAAAGTATCTCTTATAAATTTCAACCATGGATGCATAAATAAACCTTCAGAAAAGCATTTATGAAAAAAGCAATACATTATATATGTAAACTTACGTTCATGTGACATCAAAAGTTTAGCCCAATAAGTAATCATTCGTACCTTTATATGTATTATTAAAGGGTATCGCCCAGTTTCCCCATATACCATACAATTTGGAGTGCTGGATTTAACATGTAAAACAAATTTCAGAAATTTTAAGTGTACCTTTTCTAAAATACCTGTATTTTCATAGCCCCATACTTCACACCCGTACATCAAAATTGGGCTTATAACTCTGTCTTAGAATGTTTAAAAGGCGTGAAGAGTATAAATTAATTGATCATTGAATGGATGTCCGATAGAATTAGTCTGTAATTAATATTGTAAAGGGCTTAATTTCAGAATAAATGTGTAAATTACTTGATTATCTCGGGTTGTACATAATCCTGAATTTTATATTCATTTTCGGGAAATTAGTTAATTACCTAGGAAAATTGTCTATGAAAATATTTGTTTACATTTTATCAAAGATTATAATCATATCTCTTATTAGGCAGATACATGTAATTCATTACACGTATTGAAATCTGAACAGTATACCGTTGCCTCTAGTAAGACGACTGGTTCATCAGATGGAGCTACTATAAATACACACGTTTCATTTGTTAAAATTATACTTTTCTACATTTAAATCAATTATTTATTTCAAACATTGACAAATATCAAATGAAATTCCTTATTGTACACCTACAAAAGTCTTTATACAATTTTACTTCCAATATAAGTATACCCACGCTTAACCTTTCATGATGCATATTTAAAAACAGATTTT